CACAAAATAATATACAAAAGAAGACTAGAAAAGGCTCTTGCACACATATAAGCATTCAAAACTTCACAATGTAATACTTTGAAAACCTTATAACGGCAAATGTGTGGGATCCGGTTTTGTACCGTTTTACGTTCATGGTGCAGTAGGCCTATAGTTGACAAAAGAGTAATTAATAAATAAAAAAATGAAGTTTATTATTTAATAAGGATATATACTGTTAAACTTTGCTTCTTATAGCAATGTTTGTTTATTTCTGCACATGTTCGAATGACCAAAAGTGGAGTTTCTCATGCAAAAAAACAAAATAAAACGCAAATGAACTTTAGATTTTGCCACAAGAATACTGCAGACATTTATGCTTAAAATAAAACTCAATATGGTAGTCTGGACACCAACATAATAAGATTCAATATGGAACCCATTTTATTAACAAAATATACTGGATTATTTACATGTTCAGTAAAAGCACTAAACTATGATTTAGTAATTTTCCTTGAAAAATGAATTGAATAATTGTAAATTGTAAACAATTACCTAATTAATGCAATAAATTCTATATCCAACCATCTGTATGAAAAAAAAAAGGTACAAGTAAACAACAAATTAAAAGTGAAGTGTATTTCTAGCTTTCTATTAGCATTTAAGATATACATGCAAGGATTTAGAATTAAATTGATTTTAGGCTGTGAAGCCCATCTCGATTCTGATTAAGTAGTTTATATAACAAATTGTAAATAAGTTCAATCAAGGCATAATTGATAGATTCCTACTGTGACTTTTCATTTAAATAGCAATAGATTAAACCACAAACGTGGATATGTGCTATTTGGTAAACAGATATATTGTAATATTTTTTTTTGTATCCAATAATCCGAGAATTAGAATAAAGCACGAAGAGAGGAAGTCAGCGGTTACCTCATAAATGATCTTTTTTCTAGGTAATCATGTTATTGCTGAATGCTACAGATATGTAGAAAAGGTGAATGCTGAGTTTTTTTCCGTATTCAACTTGTATGAATATTTCTTATAAAAAGAAAATCAATTAAACTTTTGTATAAATGTATAAATAACGAAATGTTGCCCTTGATATTTATAGATCCTTACATGACCAATGTGTCCAATTCGAATCATCAGATACACGAATTACAATAAGAATTTCACCACAATATATTTGTCAAGAAAAGTGCATATTTCATTGCGTGCCGTTAAATTATTTGTTATTCTAATAAAAGGTCAGAACAAGGATCTATCAATTGTTCTTTTGTTCTAATGTAGGTAACAAAATCTGTTTAATCTAAATATTTACACTACAGTCAATGAAAAGAACGAACTCAAATTGTGTAATCAAATGAATTCTTGTGTTAAATTTACATTTACAAATGACTCTATCATAAGCATAGATATGCCAATGTAGGTATTTTAACTAAAATGTCATCATTTTCCCGAATACATTGAAATGACTTTAATTTTATCGCCAGCAAACTTCATCCCAAGAGCAAAATGATAATTCTGCAACGCAACAAGTGTATGTCCAACCTGAAATTGTAGTCTTACAATTAAACACATATCATAAAGTAATATTAGGAGTATCTTGATTTGAAATTTGCATTTGACTCGAATGGAATTTCACTACAGTATGGAAGGGGTTATCCGCTAGTTCACCTATTATGCTTTATGACATTCCAATTTCCGTTTTTACTTTTGCAATAGTGAATTTGACGTTAGATTTTGGTCATTTTCAAGACTTAGTGTATTTCGTATCTTTATAATTATAAACTTAAGGTATTTTGAAATATACCTTTGTTATACGTTAATTTTATTTTTATACACGTTTTTCTTGTTTCATTCTGAAAATTGGTATGATTTCCCTTAAAATATATTTAATACATTTAAGTTCAAAATCACACAGTCATTAAAATCAACATTAGGTATTCAGTGTATGGACGCTACCGAATATGTGTTAATTTATTTGTAATAAAATGTTCAACATTTCATCAAAACAATCGAAACATCATTCGCAGTATAAAATACTGTTTAACATTGACACATTAAAACAAAATCGTCTTCAAAACAATGTTGACGTTATCAAAAAACGAATCGGGGAACCAATTTTTGTAGTGCGTTTTCTTACGACAGAGGTCGCTGCTTAATAGTAACTAATCTGATTCGGTGCGGACGTAAAAATCACCTCATGGAAAAGATCCGATCAAACATCGTGATACCCTGCTTTGAAAATCATATCATTTTTATTCTTTAAATCAACTCATTTTTGAAGATCTTTCAGAAAAGGTATGCATGTGGCATACTGTATGCGGCGGATTTTGAGATATTTTGCCTCAAACTTGGCCTTTTTACTGGTAGTCATTAACCTCCATATGATCGGATTAGTTTTCGTAGTATCAGATTTGTGAACACCGGTCAGGGAGCGGTAATTATTTTTTACATTTTTACCAGTTATTACTCGTTGATTAAAAAGGCCAATTCTAGCGCAAAAACCTAAATAATTTTGAATTATACTTCGAAACTCTTAGTGTGCTATGCAAACTGCTGTTTCGAATACATAATACACAATGTCAGCATGCGACAAAAATTACCATGATTTTTGTAAAATAAATACTGAAACACTGTAAAAATAAAATGTGCGTCAAATTAATTTTAGAAAGCAAATTCAAATAAAGGAAAAATATATGAAAGCCAGCAAATTAAATATCTAATTACAGTTTGCATGTTTACACCCTTAGAACTGAAGGGTAAATTGAATGTTCGCATATTTCAATAAGAACTAGAGTTACGTCAGCTTAAGTACATCTCAATATTGCATAATGATTACAACGTATTAATAATTATGTCTTCATATTGATAAAAATGTTTTCATAATAATAATAATGTCTTCCTATCAATAAGAATGTCTTCAAAATAATAAGAATGTCTTCATATTAATTACAATGTATTCATATTAATTAGAGTGGCGGATAATCCCTTCCATACTACAGTGTAATAGCAGAATCTCACTCTAGTCAAAAACAAGATCCAGATCAAAACACTCCTTTAAAATCCCATGTATTATATACCCTTTTCGGATTTAAACAATCATAATCAATCATTGCATAATATTATAATCGCCATTCTGGATCATACTGGAGTGTCAAACAGTTTTTTTTTCTATCGGGTCATATTTGTATATAGGATATCGAAAAGTATAAACAGTTATAACAAGGCATGTTAATAAGTCACACAGGATTATGCTTATCAAAGCTGCCTTTTAACTTATGAAAAACAATATATTAATAGCTTGATAAACTAATCAGATTGTTAGCATTTGTGCTCGCTGTATTTACATAAGCTTACAAATAATTAGGCATTTTGACTTTCTTAAGTTTTCATGAATGTGAGATGGAATAAAAGATATGTTCAAGAGAGATTAAATAAGTTAATGTTTATATTTATACTTGGTCAGTCATACATCCATGTATATTACATGATGTATTTGTAAGATATGATTTAGATTTGTTGTGTACCGTTTTGCCACATAATACACATTATATACTATCAAAATGACAAATTGGCAGCGTCGTGTTTCACCTTGTTTTCATTCAGGTTTGAACAGTGTTTCGGTTGAGGAAATTAGGGAGTTATGGAAATTGACGGTCAACAGAAAGTTACTCATCCTATATGATGTGAAAACACCTTGTTTTTAAGTTAAAATAAAATTTCTGAAACTGATGATTATGCATGCCTGTACAATTTTGATATTCATATTTTATGTTGGACAAATGTATAATGCACAGTTTCATAAAATGTTTTAAAAAAGAGCTAAATAAAACCTATTATGAAAACATTTACTTTACCAGTAAAATTTCATAACAAAACATAGATAAACTATATTAAATTATGAGGCAATATAGTTTATAACACAATATGATATTATTTAGAAAGTTAGTTTAACATGAATATATTAAATTGAAAAAATATTTTGACAGTGCATGGAATATGGCATTTGTGTAATTTTTGTTGAAGTTTAGGTTTATTCATGTCATCAAGCAATTTGTTTTAATTAATCAAATTGGTTTTAAATATTTGACAGCAATATAACCCGTCTTACCACATGTCTATTTTGTGTAAATATAACATCGAATCTGAAAAAAAGTATAACCAACTGGTAATTTAGCAACCAAAAAGAATAATAGAAAAATAAGATACATTTGTTCTATAAGATTTGACTTTCTGCAATAAAAAATGGATGGTATTCATAATGATTCACACAGTCTTAGCTTTATAACGACATGTGCAATTTTATCAGCTCTTTAGTAAGATTGTATATGCAATAAGTTAAGTATCATTATAACAGTTTTACATATGTTTGTGCAATTACATACTATTTAATTCGCATTGTCAATTTTTTAAATCATTATTTTATACAAATTTATTTTAGTTCGATTGTGTTGGAAGCTATAAGCTTATTGAAACACTCTCGAATCCGTTCCTGGAACCAACCAGTACTAAGCAATGAATGTAAAGTTTCTTGCTCAAGGAAACAACGGCTTGCCCCTGACAGGGTTTGAACCCACGCGGTCAGCAATCCTTAGATTACTAGTCCGACGCGTTAACCACTCGACAAGGCCGCCACGTCCAAACATCTGATTATTGCGTTGAATATATTGTTTGTTTGATCATTCTTTATAATGGATCCTCTGATAGCGTAATTATAATCACGCTAATAACATCTAATTAATTATTCATACGCATAGGTTTATAAAGACATGTGCAATTTTATCAGCTCATTATAAATTATATTTGGTTTCGAATCAAAAGTTAAAAGACATATGTGATCAGTTTGTTCGTAAATATAATAACACATATCTTCTCAAAATAACTTTTAAATTAATTACTTTAATTCGAGAAACATTCCAACTGACTTAGTTCAGATTTTGCCAATGTTTTATTTCATGTGTATCTCTCAATAAGTTTAAAACATTATTTAACTAAGAGGATATGTCCTAAAAATACCAAAATCGTAAACAGTTCATAGTGAACAAAGAAGTAATGCATGTTTATCGTTTGATTTTAGATTTAAAATATTGTTATTTATTTGGCTACAACAATGCAGCAATAGCACAGCTACGTGTTAAATAGAGATATTAAAGTGACAAACGTAAATATCCTTGGAATTTACGCGATCTGGCTAAATATACCTCTTCAACATACATCAAGTTATCAAGTACCACTTGGTATCCTATTCGATCACCAATATTTAGTGCAGGTGAAATTCTTTGACCGGAGGTACTTCCTGAGTACATTCTAAAATATTTTAACAAAAAGCGTGTTATCAACAGTTTGATATAATAATACCTATTAAATACAGTAACTGTATCATCTTTTCTTTTTTTGTCATTATTTCAGTAACAATTTAATAACAATTAAAATCATCATATTCTTAGCAAACACATCAAATCGCGTATTTCTGATTTCAAAAATGTCAATAATAAATCTTAAATGTATCATAAAGTGTTTTCTATTAGTAACTGTTATGGTTAAGAGTCGCAGAGATATTTCAAATGATTATCGGTAGTAAAGCAGCATGTCTAAGGTGCCCGGAGAAAACAAGAGCGATCAGTCATCACATGTGTCGTCTCATGATAACCTTAATTCAGCCAAAAAATCATTCAGCCATAAAACGCATGTAATATGCGAAAATATTTCAGCTACTGATCAATCCTGTAAAATTTCATTGCAATTGCATTATCGGTATCAGAGAAGTAGTCCGGACTTTTAAATAAAAAAATGATAAAAGGGCCATAACTCCAACAAAAATCATTGTCAATATCATGCACAACAAGACTTGGCATTAATCATTCGTGCAAAGTTTTAACGAAATTGCCAGACATGTTTCTGAAAAGAAGTCCAGGCAAGCTTCTATGTAACTGATAACACAGAAATGCACATTGTTTTATTCAAGGGCCATAACTCGGCCAAAAATCATTCAACCGACAAACACGTGTAATATGACCCATCCCGTAAAGTTTTATTGAAATTCTATAAGAAAATTAGTCCGGACAAACTTTAAAATTAAGTCTTTAAGTGGCCATAACTCTGAATAAAATTTTCTTAGTTTCTTTGCAAGGAAGAAAACATCAAAAATAAAAACATAATAAATAAATAAGTAAAAAGTAATCAATGCTAAACGATCGGTTGCATACGGGATCTAAGGCCTTGTAATATAGCTTGAAATAAATTTTGATAGTATAGAATGTACTATGGATTACGACCTCTGACTTAGAAGTTCGGTAAATTAATTATATATCTAGTTAATCCGTGTTCACTGTTATTAAGGTTAACTATAGGATTTTACGCACACTTAAATACAAGGAAAATGCCGGAATGTTAAAAATAGATTTATATCACAAGCTAGTACAATACATGCCTTGAAAATAAAAACTTAATTTGACAGTTGAAAACTGGCAAAAGGTGTAATACTGTTTTTCAATTTATCTGGTTTTATTATACTACTACAAGATGAAATTTTAGATTTCGGAATTCACTTACTTGCCGTCTGAATGATATCCTAATGACCCTTGGTCAAATCCCGGTAGAAGTTTATCTGAAAAGTCATCCTCCTGCACGATACCAATTGCTACAATTTATTGACATTTTGAAATTACTGTTATTAAAGACTTATCAATCAATGATCTACCATTTCTAAATTACAATTAAGTTTATAATGCAAAACATTCTTTATTTCGATGTTCTTTAACAGTTGTATAAAGTTTTTATATACTATAAGTTCAAATATGTTTTAATTAAATTGTATTTACACATGCCCTTAAATAAATCTTATGACTGTCATAGTTACTTTCACCATATTATTTGTTGACTGCAAAAACAACAACAATTATTTGTCAAGATTGTACGCAGAGTAAAATTTTTAAACAAAACATTGCACTTTCTGCACTTTCAAATGTTGTCGGTGAACATAGGTTATTCAAAGACTGCATATCATATATAAAATATTACAAAAATATTTATTTCCTTTCTATATCAACTTGATGGGATTTTTTTAAAATTGATCCTTGAATATGTACAATACTTTAATGGTACTTTAAGGTATAAATATATTTATTATAAATTCGAGTTTATTATATTAACATCTTATTCATATTATGTTGGCGATAATGGCCCTGTGTACTGTTTGTACAAGAGCAAACGTGTGAAGCAAACATTGTTTTTAAATAATGTTTTAAAAAGACTTAAAAAAGATGTCAAAACGATTTGAATAATCAAATTAAAAAAAAAATATTATTCAAAAAAGAAAGTTGTCACTTTTGCATTTAAAAACACACTGTTTCTATACTTGTACCTATAGAGCCGCTTTTATGCATTTTCAATATCTCTATTTCAACGAATTGTTCTGGCTTGACACGTATTTGGTCAATATATATTCCAATGTCGCTGAAAAATGGTTTACCGACATGCCTGCAAATGGTGTAAATAAAGAAAAGCAGTAAAGTATTTTAACTCAACACATACATTTTTATTTTAGATACACATATTTTGCATGAAAAGTAAAACGTATATTGTGTAATAAGAATTCAACTTATCAAATGTGCACACTAATAAAATTGTCGGGGGTCGTAATACCTTAGACTTAAATGTTCATCATTTATAAAACTAGTATAATTACTTTATGTTCTAAAGGAAAGAAAGGATTGTTCACAGTTTTCTGTCACATATTTTCCTGAAAAGGAATATAACTAGCCTTCATTACTTTCAGAAAAATATAATTATAATGTCTAGTGGATGTTGGCACAGCACTCGGTAGAGTTTATTTGTACCATTTGTTTTGAAAAGCATGAATATAGGAGGGCTTAGAACCAAGTCAATCTATACAGATACTATACAGACTGACGTTTAATAATGACTTTTATGTCAGGATGTAAAATAAACAATTATCAACGAAATATACGTTAAGGACAGAAAACAAGTGTGGTTGTCTATATTGTAAAGACAAGTCCTCGAGATTTTCTGTCCGTATAAGACCCTTGAAATATCGTGAGTCAGATTTAAACAGAAGAGCTTATTTTAAAGTCACAGTTTAAATCAATAGAAAAATACGATTATATCACGTTCAGTCTTTTGAAGAGTAAGTTAGCATTTTAGTTTTATATATTGTACAGCAATTTTGGCTTTTGATAAATTAAAACAAAACATTATGTTCTAAATCGCTCAGTCATCATTATTTTACATAATTGGTATATCTGCCGACCTGCTTATTGACAAATGTTATTTTAATGGATAGAATGCATACAGATAGTGTTTTCTTGTGAAAACTTTTAGATTTGAATCAGGTTTTAGAAATATATTCTTATTATGTCAGGACTTTTTAACTATAGCAGGTGCCTGATAAAGGTCCGTCACAATTTGAAAACGGTCCCTTGGCAATTCCAAAATGCCTGTTTAACAACAGTTATTGAAATAATTGTCACATTAACAAAAAAAAAAAAAAAAAAAAAAAAAAAAAAAAAAAAAAAAAAAAAAAAAAAAAAAAAAAAACAAGAGCAATGTTAATATGGTAATCCCCGCCGAATGTGTTTGCTCATTGGAAGAATGTATATGTAGTAGAGCAGAAAAATCCATTTGTAAGAGGACTTTTGGTAATGAAAACTGATGGCTGAAGTGATCATAGATTTGAAACCTATATGAATATATGTGAAAATAACAAAGGGCGATAACTGAGAAATATGCAGGGTAGATTTATCACTCCTGTGTGCTGCAATCTTCCTCAATGAATTATATCCACCTATGAAGTTTCAAGTTGATACCTCTAAGTTTCTGAGATAAGCTCCGGATAAAAAGTATGAAAAATAACAAAGGGGAAAATATAAAGGTTAGAGTTATCATTCTTGCACATTGCATACCTCCTGAGAGAGATCTATCCACCTATAAAGTTTCATGTTGATATTTCAAAGCCTTTTTAAGTTATGCTCTCGACAAAAAATTAAGTTTGAAAAATAACAAAGTGCAATACCTGAAAAAATATGCTGGATAGAGTTATCATTCTTGTGCACTGCACTCCTATGGAATGAAATCTATCCACCTATGAAATTTCGAGTTGATACCTCTAACACTTTCTGCTTTAAACTTTAAATAACGAAGGGCAGTAACTCAAAAATTATAAAGGGTAGATTTGACATTCTTGCGCACAGCATTCCTCCTCAATAAGATCTATCCACTTATGAAGTTTCATGTTGACATCTCAAAGACTTTTGAGTTATGCTCTACTCAGGTGAAAAAGTATGTATGAGAAATAACAAGGGCAAAAACTCAAAAATAATGAAGGGTAGAGTTATCATTCTTGTGCACTGCACACTTCCTGCGTGAGATCTATCAACCTATGAAGTTTCATGTTGATATCTCAAAGGCTTTTTCAGTTATGCTCTGGACACAAATTAAGTTTGAAAAGAAAACAAAGGGCAATAACTGAAAAATTATGCAGAGTAGGGTTATCATTCTTAAGCAATGCACTTCTAATATGATCTTTCTGCATATAAAAGTTCAAGTTGATAACTCAAATGCATTTTGATATATGCTCCGGACAAAATGTGGGACGGACGGAGAGACAGACGGACGGACGGATAGACAGACGGACGGAGACTCTATCTCTAAATAAAAAGACAACTTTTTAGTTCATCTAGGTCTTCTTCTGTCGTAAACTCTACACAATCACGCCAGTATCTGCGATGAAGGTTGTGGTTTTCCTCAGGTCATTAAGGTCCCCATACATCTTCTGGTGGAGAAATTTGTCTTTAGGCCACATTGCAGTTCGCTCCTGATCATGTCGTCTACATCTTTGGAGGACATGCTCAACAGTCGTATCTTTCTCTCCGCAAGCACAGATCGGTGACTGAACATTTTTGTACTTCTTGTACATGTGGTAGTTCAGCCTGTTATGTCCTGAGCGTAGTCTGACAATTATAACTTATTGTGCCCTGTTCAGAAGGTGGAATGCATCATTCTCCTGTCTGGGTCTGGTGAATGTCTTGATAATCTTGACCTTCTCTTGGTAAGAAACTTGGACATATAGTTGCTCTGATTGTTTACCACGTCTTGCAGGCTGGTCAGCTTTTTCATTGCCAGAGATTCCGCAGTATGCCGTAATCTATTGGAGGGCAACAATGAATGAAGTGCTGAGGTGTTGTATGGCTTTTGCTTACTCTGGTGATTTGTTGCTGGTCATTGCTTCCATAACCGACAGGGCATCTGTCAGAAAGACCACTGCTGAGACATCTTCTGACGAGTCTTCAATCAAGGATACATCCTTCATGGGGGCTTCAGTCTCTGTTTTGTAGTTACTAAAATGCTTGCATTTAGCTGTGTAATATGTTTCTCTGTTGTCAGACGTGTACCTTATGACCACATCAGCCCCTCAATTTTTAACAGTTCTAGTAGATGATCCATCAGTGTAGACATGCGCTCATGTGTGCGATGGGTAGTCTTGGTCTAATAGCTATTTTTCTGAAACTTTCATCTTTTTGTTTTCCTTGTACCAGTTGTGGCACAGTTTTCACTGCAGACAGGTCGTTCGCAAAATGGTCAGTGATATCGTCATTGCAAAAAGGGGCTATTTCTATGTATATTTCTAATGGGTACTTTTTATTCAGTCTCTTGGCTTCATGAATGAAACTTCCACGTTCTAGCCGATCTTTTGTGTAGCCAGCTAGTCTTGCTTTCATCGGATGGTCTGGAAGAGACTTGAATTTTTCTGCCTGTATAAAGACTTTAGCTTGCCTTCTTTCATGTAGATGCTGTATACCTGTGATTGCCTCCATGAATGTTATGGGTGTAGACTTGGTGGCCCCTGTAAAGTGCTTGATTTTGAACCTTGTCTAGAGCCTGTTGGTTAGTTAGGCTGTGGTTGACCAGATTGCTGAACTGTACTCCATCGTGGACCTAACTGTTCCCTGGTATACTGATTTGAGTATCTGCTCATTCGCTTCCCATGTTGTTCCTGCCAGCTTACGCATCATTGCTAGTTTCCTTCGTGATTTGCCTTCTACTCGGCTTATATGTGGCTTCCATGTCTGTCTCTTGTCAAATGTTACACCTAAGAATGTTGCTTCGTCCTCTTCTGCCAGAGGTGTATTCCTCAATATGACCTTGAATCCTCTCTGTTTTGATGATAAGGTGAACAAAGTGGTGGTGACATGTCTTCATTGATCGCCACGCACCTTTCTTCAGCCCATGTGGTAAGCTTGTCTATGGCCTGTTGCAACCTGTATGTGGCTGTGGAAGCATGATCTTCTTTTCACCATAAAACCAGATCATCTGCATAGAGTGCTGCCCGAACAGCCTTTGGCAAGTCTGATACCAGGTCGTTATTGAAAAGCAGGAAGAGTGTGAGAGAAAGGACACCACCTTGGGGGGACACCATGCTGCAATAGGAACTTTCAACTTTTGGTTTGGTTCAAGCTAACTCTTGCTCTTCTGTTGTGGATGTATGATTTGATCCACTTCAACATGACACCTTCACTCCATTTCTCATCAGTTTCAGTAGAAACCCGTCAGTCCAAACTTTGTCGAACGCTGTAAAGACAAACTTCGTTTCTTGGAACGCGATTTCAACTTCCTGTGCTAGGTATGTTGTTTGGTCTAAAGTTGAGCGAAATTGTTTGAAACTGGCTTGTTCTGTTGCAAGTAGTTTATTGCTCTCCAGGTACCATTTTAGGCTTGCGTTCACAATCCTCTCCATTGTCTTTACTACACAGCTGATTAGACTAATTGTCCTGTAACTTTCAGCCTTTTTAGATCCTTCGCTTTCTTAGTCACTTTAGTCGACTTCCAATCTCCTTCTTCTCTTCTTGCTTCCCTTCTGCGTTTTCTGTCACTCAAATCTTTGTATTGGCTAGCAAAAACATACGCGGCTTGTGTTCCCGTCGACAGCTCAATGTATTCTTGCAGAATAACTGAGCCTCTCCTAAAATCATTTTCATCATTCAATTGTTTTGTTTACTTCATTAGCCCGTCGGCCATCCCTCTTGAAGTTGAGTGATGCTGTTTTACTTCTCCAGCTTTCCCGCTGGGGTTCAAGTTTGTAGCACAGGAATTTGGCCTTAGCTTTTTGTAAGGAGAGGTTACTTTCGTGTGATGGTTTGGCTTTTGCTGCCTTCCTGACTTCTGATAGCTTTGTCTGAAGGTCTTCCCGCTCATCACTCCAGTATGGTTTGTAGTCTTTACGAGCTCCTCTTGCAATAGCGTTCTATGCTGCTTTCATTACGCAGTAGTTTAGGTATGTGACTACATTGTTTAAGTCTCTTCCTTCCACTCGAATGTCTTTACAAAGGTCATCACTCAGTAGTTAAAAGATGCTCCAGTTTGCCTTCCTCATTCCATCTTGGAATATTCGAGGATGTAGAGACTGTGCTGTCTATTGTAAGCTGGACTGGGCGATGGTTGCTTCCTCCTAGCTGTATCATGACTTCCCTTTTGATGTGTTCATGAATGTCATATGTACAGAAAGCACAATCGGGAGTTGAAGTTGACTTTCATGCTTTGGAGTAAAATGTTGGAGGATCATCAGGTAGATTGATAAGTGTCAACTCCTTTTTATTTTCATGACTACACGGTCAAACTTCTTAGTATTGACAGTAACAGTATTATAACAATATCTGCATTTTAACAGTTTAAATTTAAAAGCAATCTAAAAAATTAGTTGAAACATATCAATTGAATGATTTTTTTTAAATTAAGGAAAAAGTAGGTTGTTAAGTAAGGTGGATTATGACCAATAAATATTAAACTTTGCAAAATGACCCGTGGTGCGTTCCCGTTTGATAAGTCAATTAAATGGTTTTGATGCTTTTTTAACTATATATTTAAGTGATTTATTGTTTAATGTAATAGAAAATACTATTTACATTGTTAGTTTCTTACGTTTGGCTTTTTAATAATAAACCATTTTACGTTCAACATGGTTTTCAGCATGTGAAAAGCATCCTCTTAATTTGTTCAGACAAAGGAATGACATTTTTAGAAAGAAACAATCGTAAAAGAAATTTAAGTCTTAATAAGTATTCAGCCTACGTTTCTGCTTACCGCCTATAAAAGGGATTTTCGTTTATAAGCAGGCGAGAAAATTGTGTAATAACAGTTTAAAATAGACACAATTGAAACATTGTTTTTACACTATATATAAAACGGAAACTTTTTGCTGCAAGTGTTCAAGTCGTACCAATCTTTGGTCTAAAACAAATATGTTGCAAGGTTTACTTTAATACCAAAGTTACATTAATCTCATTTAATAATTAGTAACTTCCTTTCGTCTTATGTATTCGTTTCGATCTACTATATATTAATTGATACCTGATTTTGTTTCCATTGACTTTAAGATTTTTGCAAATCAGTTGTCTATCCAGCACAGCCTATGAAACATAAAACATGTTAAAAAGAACGTGTAAATTGTTTTGTAAGATAAATTTGTCACCCCTAACATAAGGTTATGATCTACAACATAAAGCCAGTAGTAATTGCGATTATTTAAGTTTTAAACCATTAAAATGACCAACACAAAACATTTCTTACTAAATTTTTTAACATACCTTAAGCGTTCATAATGAAAACAGAAATATAAGTTACTAATACGAGACTTCAGTCGAACTCAAGAACAGTGCATTGATTTACCTGACTTTTAAATTTTCATAATAAATTCACTCAAATCAACACCGTAAGATTTATTCTGGTTGTACTATCTACCGGGAATGTAACCCGTATTTGACCCACCATAATATAATACAGAAACATCTTGGATAAAATAGTTATTTACCATAGTAGCTTCTATGTTGTTTTTTTTTTAAAAAAAATACCAATTATCAAAAAGAAATTTACAATGCATAAAAAGATAGTTCCGTAAATAACCTCATATTAGTGGCAGCCATCTTTGTTTAAAGTACTTAATACCAGGAATGACTTTTAAACAATCAATAAAAAGTTAAAACCATATGTAAACAGTCCATTACTGCTAATGATACTGCAACACCTATCCTTTCTGCGTAAACAAATAATTGTGGTAGAGGTAGAGGAACAATGTCACTGATAGAGTTCAAGAAATGGGAAGAATTCCGAATGCTGCAGTAAAACCCAAGTCTTATTAACGTTTCAACCACTTTTATTTGGTTATCATATGTAAAACATTCGCAACGATTTCATAAAATATATATTAGCAAAATAATAACTAATTCTGGCAAGCCTGGAGAGTGATCGATGAGGCCGTCCCCCGATAATAAGGATTGAAATAGTCAGAACTGCTCTAAATAGGCTATTAATCTACAAAATCTTCACGAGGAATAGGTATATGGAATAATTTACCAAGTATATCAAAGTCTGGTTTCAGCAATATGAATGGATCTACGCCAACTGACTGCTGGTCACGAAGTGGTGTGAGGAAACGCTGAAACCTCGGTATTTATAGGGGCGTTTCCTCACGAAAACTCACGAATCCTCAGTTCAGTGAGGAATTCAGGAGGACACGCCAAGAAAATTTACTCACGGATTTTACCGAATAAAAATTATGCATTTTTATTTCATTTACAACCATTGGGAACAATTCTACCAACAAAACTTGCCAGATAACAGGACTTAAAACAAGTGATAAAAAATAATAATTTCATTCTAAAAATAAACTGTTTGTTTACATTTGAAATGAGGTCAAGTGGAAGAGTCTTATAGCGCATGCTTGAAACTACTTCTGCTAAAACATGCAATGTGCGATGCAGGACCACGGACAGCAAATTTATAGATATTACAAAGAATATAAATAAATCATTTATGCATACAAGTGATAAAGGTAATTGTCATATAAATTACACCGATAAATAATAATGACATTTCGTATTTTTACTGTTCTAATGTGAAAACTCTGGTGACCGTAAAATAGTACCGAGAATTCTCGATACAAAACAATTCAAATTAATAAAGTCAGACAATTATGATTTAGTTACACCTAAAATGCAGGTGTAAACCGTATTTTCCGCTAATATTTCTATAAAAAGTTCTGTAAACATGACATTACAACATTATGAATCAGCGCTGTAATTGTTAACAATAAATAAATAAATTAATAAATAACACAAACATGTTAATGCCAGGCATTACAATACTAAAATTCTATTCAATATTTATCAATTGTCACATTTGCACACACATGCAATATGTCATGTTGGGTCCAAATCGTTAGCAATACCACTGGTTTTTATGCGTAAAAACACATTTATGTGTATAGGGTTATTAAAACTTTTAATTTGCTTCACAAATGCCATATTTTGTATGAAATTAATGTAAAAACACGTGCAAACAAAAGAAACTACTTACGAAAGTATTATTTGTAATCTGGACATTCCTGAGGTACCTTGAGGACATTTTAAAATTAATAGAACACAGAAACAATAAAACTTTCCTATAATGTTTTCTACTATAAATTACGACAATAAAATTTACAATATTTACCAAACATAGAGGAGGGGATGGAGACTCAATTGAGTTTGCATCATGATTTTGACTCACTGTCTCTTCTTCTGAAAATAATTAAATTCTAAAATATTGTTGATGCTGACAGTATTCGTCTTACATTTATTGATCACAATATATCAAAACAAAATTGAATAAAAACACAAAATATTTAAAAAACATTCACATGCAATTCTTCTCTTTGAACAAGTTGCCTGACTGTTTAAGTACATAGATCTGTAACATGTCTGTATCCGTGTTCCTATATTTAAATTGTCATTCAGGATGTTTGTTAAAAATACTTATAACTTTGAATCAGGGATGCGAAAATATAGGTGTAATATCCCTCAATAAAAATACTCCTATTGCAAATGATAATTTTGCTAAACTTTTATATCAAATTAAAGATTACGAATTAAAACTTTGAACTGGTTAAGATGGAAGAAAAATCATTCAATACCTACGTGGTTCATTCTTACTTTTCCAAATACTCCCAAGCTGTTGACAGTCTTTTACCGACCGTTCAAGATCACAGTTACGCTCAAACACGTACGTGTTGAAACTATTCTCCCCCTTGATTTTTTCTATTTGATGTTGAACGTTTTGAATTCTATTCTTGTTTGTAATTGAGCTTACGAAGAGCTTATTAGGCTGATCAGATAATGATCGTAAGGTGTCATTTATGTTGGAGGTTTCAGCAATTAATTTTTTGTTTCCTTTTTCTAGCTTGTCCATTCGTTCCATGTCTTCCGCCATGACTTCATCGCCATATTTCTGCGTTTCATCTGCCAATTTTGTTATGAATGAAATGTTTTCATCTCTGAATGTCTGTGCATCATGCCTGAACATTTGGTTAACATTCTTTATTTGATCCTTGTTAGCTTGGGTGGAAATAAGCATTGCTTTTGACTGAAGATTACTTTCCTCAGCATCCCTTGTTATTTGTTTAAATGTTCCGCTGTCCTTAAAATCTTGCGCCATATTGGAAATGAGTTCAACATCGCAAGTTTTATGGTCAAAATTCATGCAGTCCCAACAGCCCACTTGATCATGATGAGGACAGTAGAGCATAATAATTTGTTTTGTGTGCCTATCACAAACGGCATCATAATCTAATTGTTCCATTTCAGATGTATTCTCATATGGCTTCACCACCTGATGTCCCTTTTTAATATTGATCTGTTTTCTAGCTGTTTTCCCTGGTACTTCCATCGTATTTGATCCTACAAAGAGCATTTAATGTAACCAACTACTTGCTACATAAATATACATGTACACTGTATGATAAATGAGATAAGTTGTCGGATAATGTATTATTTACTGTCTGAAAATATTTGAAACCTTATTAGTATTGAATCATAAGTATTGAATCAATCCGTTTCACATAATTCTAAAAGGCACGCATATTGTTTAAAAGGATTTTTTAGAATTATGTTCTTATTTTACTCTAAAAATGATGTTGATTGAACAAGTGCTTGCAATCTTCTTGTTTGACGAAAAAGGATTCGCGGCATATAAATGGAAATAATAAAGCCCTCTTGTAAAATATCTTATCAGAAAAACAAACAGCCTTTGGATGTAAATGATAGTGACAGTCATCTCCATTTGTGCAAAAATTAAGATTCTAATTTTTGGTACACAAAGAACAATTAGTAAAGAAAAATATATACGTTTCCAAAGCAATACAATATCATGTTAAGTACAAGATGGGGTTATTCCTACCGAAAACAATGTAGATATGTAAACTGAAATACTCTCCGAAAATCACGTCGTTACATGCATCATGATTATATTGGATTTGAATTTCAATTCGATCGTTGCAGTCGTCTTCTTTGGTGGAAAAATTATTACGTTTGATATTACATTTTATCCTTACTATAATGTTCCATCTAAAATTGTAAGTTATACAAACGTCAACAGTTGAAAAAATAAAGAAATAATTAATATGTGACGTGCCATCGTGATCATTTCAGTAACTATTTAGTTGATTTAATACAGTATTTGAATAGTTAGAAGTGTGTTTTATAAAGTTTTTGTTGTATGTCCTTTTATTTTATCTTTTTAGTATGACAGTGTTTTAAAATTGTTTTACCAAAAGGCATAGATATGGTAAAAACAATCATGTTTTAGATCGGCTACAAAGCTAACACTACGCCTGCACCAACTCAGTCTTTCTTGGATACATATTTGCTGAAATTCCTCGAAATGTGACTACCAAAATGCATTACTTTCATTTTTTTCTGCATATAAACAAGTCTTACCTGATACTTATTCTTGCTTCAGTAGTGAAAACAAAAGATTTAACGATATCAATCTTTATTCCAGAAGGATTCGATAAACAAATATTTTCTCTTCAATAAATACATTGATTTCCTTTGCAATGCTTTTAAAAATTCCGCAAAGAAACACTAAATTTGTAATGAAATCACTGAAATTTTTTCTACGAAGATAGACCACATATATACTCTCATCATTTATGAAAAGTTAATTTGACCCACTTTCACAATAATGATTTTTACTCGGAAATTATATTGCCGCACAATACGGCATGTTTATATTGGTTTACATTGTTTAATAATTTGTGGTGTTATTTTTTAGTTTCAGCAATAATTTAAAGCAATAAACCTTAATTGACTTTTTTAAGTATTATGTTGTCAATCAAATTATCAGACCGTATTAAGAGGAAAAATAGGAAAAGTCACTCTATTTACGACAGTTTTGACGAAATGATCAATGTCTTCATATTTTTTAAAGTCTGGTATAATAGAGCGCTATTAAATATCATTTAGTTGTTCTATTATTTTTCTTTCTACTTGTTAAAGCAAAGAGTAATTTATGTTAATATTAATACACCATTGTCGAAGGTACATGAAATTTGGCATAACCATTGACAAAATATCTTATACGGTAATTGTCTGCTTTTAGATCTTTTGTATCATTGACGAGACATCCGAAATAAATAAGTGAAGCATAACATAAGATATATCTTTTACATCATTTAAAAGATATGCGACAACTGTTAATAATTATAAGTAAACCTTAACTTTAGATAGATCTGATCATTGACTCGGCATACCACTACGATATCAAATAAGTTACTTTCAGGGCAATAAAACATAATATTAAGGAAATGTTACGTTAAATGATGTGCATAACCAATATCAGAATTTTTTCTTTCAAAGAAAAAAGCAAAATATTTATTAGATATACTACATATTTTTTCATATTCTCTTTTACGGAATGAGTATTTTTACCAAAACCCGTTACCTGTTTCCCTGATATTCAGTTTTTTGGGTAAGATCTGGGAACATAAGTAATTAATAAGTATTATTATACTGTTGTAGAAGATAAAGGCATGAACACTCTTCCGTTAGGCATAGAATAGGAGCGAGTAAAATTCGCTAAAAAGTTCTGAAAATGTCAGCCGCCCTTATCTAATATTATGAGTGGTATTGAAAACTTGTTTCACTATTATACGCCAATTTAACAATATCATTTTGGTCACCAAAACTGGTCGTTAGATATATAAATATATTTATTTCGGTATAAAATAGATATACATGGACATTTAAACAACATATACGGTACATACATATGCAATACAAACATGAGAAAAATAAACCATGACATGCACACCAGCATCAATGATAACACAAAAAGGAATTGTCAAAATATGCATAGACAAGCGATTGACACGTGTCTAGAAAGTTATGTACGTTAATATTTACATTACCTGCGGAACGTTTGTCAAAAAACTTATATTTTCGTAGCCGTTCTGTCACATCCAAGTATTCCAGAGATGCTGTTTTTTGGAAAGATTGAACAACATATCAATAAAGATTGTTTTTCGACTTGTATTTCAGGCCTGAATTTTCTGCAAGTGCACCTTCACACAAAGAAGCTACTTTATTTTTTGTTCATTTTGTCTTTCTTTCTTTCTTTTTTTCTTTCTTTTTTTTTTATTTATTTATTATTCTTTTTGAGAAAAACGAGAAACTGTTTTTTTAACGTATTCTACGGACTGTTGCGCCCTTTGACGATTTTCCCTTCCTAGAATAAAAAAAAACATCTTGCAGGTTATCAGCAAAAGAGAAAATTGAATTGGGTCGACCATTGTATTGAATTGAATACAATAAGGACTAGGTTTGAAGCATTTTAAACCTGATTTGAAATTTGAAAACTTTGTATTTCTGTAAGAGGAGATTGTTTCGAAGAGCTGAAATGAAAGTTTTGTAAAATATTAACTCATTTGTTAAATCTATTGACCATATTTTATACCATATTACATTTTAAAAAATTCTTTTCATTTTTTAGCTCATTTCATTGATTCACCATAAAAATATTTGTTTGAATGCATTTTTAATTAAAGCGGACATTATAAATCAATTACCTGTGCCGCTTTTGCGAATCAGTTAAAAAGGGTATTGCACGGCCGTGTATATTTATTGACGTGACGTCATTTGTGTTATACAGACATAGAGCTGAATGAAAGCGTAACACTATAAGCGCGTCAGTGAAAAACAAACCGATTATGATAAATATTATATTATACCCGTTTAGCTGGATTACTTAATTTATTGAACTCGTTGAATATAATAATACTATACTCGCCAGGGGCCCGCACAATATGATTCTATTAAACCTGTTCAATAAAATTCGGTATTGAATCTTCACTCACCCAATATCATTTATTTAATATACTACAAATGTATTTAAAATTTGATAAGAGTTGCATTTTTATCACTTAAATGTTTGAAGAACATTTGAACCAACTTTTTTTGTACGGGACATGTTTGTTTGTATCAAAGAAGTGTTAAATGATAGGTAAACATGGTAAAAGAAACATCAGGGATAATTATCAACATTAAAACATCCTGAAATTATGGATTGGAAAATCCGTCATTTATGTTGTCTGCCTTTTGTGAGTTTGTGATTCTGAGCCTTTTCCTTTATGGTAGCCTGTCTGAGCTCTTGAACAGATGCCTGTCCAACTTTGAAGGAATGAACTGCTTTTGTTACATATTCCAAGCATGTTCCGTGTTCCATGGATTTAGGCCAATGCTTCTTACTTACATATCCTTTCGGACAACTGTAGCGTATTCAAGAAACTGGTTGGTGATGTGGGTCATTTGTACATGGACAGAGCCATCCATTTGAATGAAATCATCACCTACAACATCTGGATATAATCGTACATAAACAATAAAAAATCATCATCGTAACTCATTCGTCCATGTGCCGTTTTCAATGACGTGCAGATTCGTTTTTTTTCCTGAGCGCTTATCCCCGCTAACACCAGGATTGAACCTCCGTTAAAACGATCATATTTTGCAACAGTAACAAAGGTATTCTCCAAATCTTTGTCTGTGAAGGACATACGTATCACGACTAACTGGGGCCCAGTCATTTTGGTCCAAGTAATATGGTTTCATGCCAAATCCAAACGGTTTTGAACATGCTTCAGTGCTTCAATGGCAAGAATCGATCTTGAGCTTTAGTGGATATATTGCATGCGAATGCAAAACATTTAAGTCGAGAAGAAACGATTCTACATTCTTCAGACAACAAGAAAAATTTGAATAAAGATTTTCTTTTGAACTTAATTTTCATGCCAGTACATTCATGGTGTATTTTTTATTTTGACGACCTACACTTTGTTTGTTTTATTGTTTTCTAATAAATCATTGATTTATTTCATACTCATACATATATATGCAATGATCTTTTAAATTTCTTCTGTTTCCATTTGAACAAAAGGAAAATAAATACAAATTAAATGTAATAACTACTTTAAACGACAAGCACTAATTATCATATGCGTGAAAGGGGTAATATTAAATAACTTATGTTATACGGACATATGTGTATTTTATATGTACAGTACTGACAAAACATTGTCGTTATAACAAAATAGTAGTAATAATTATAATAATAACAAAATAAAACAAAAACATATTCATAGTCTTTGAGATTTTCGCGACTTCTTTTTGTTAAATATACTATGTAATACAGCTTCTTTTTATTTATTTTCAGCAAAAAAGGAAGTTTATATCCGACAATGATCATTAATTGTTTACGCAGATTTATTTAAGTATCTTTATTTCCTCATTTGACAACTCATCATACATCTTTATATTCAATATTCAATATTTATATGATTTATACAACATTCCACTGAACTTGAAGTGTTCTCATAAGAAACACATCATTCAACGATAAGTCTTTATATTGAGTGAACATGATAATTTGCGTTCTTGTATATCGTGACTGTAATGATTTAAAAAAAAACAACATATTAATAAACATGATTAAGATTAAAATACACAGTTAGATGTATAGTACACATTGACGAATGACTTAGATACAAAATGATAATTTAGAAAACGCAGACTTAAGTTTTGAATAATTACAATACAAATTTGAAGATTTTCAGACTTACGCATGTAGATAGATATACGTTTATTTTGACATCATAGTGTGACAATAAAAGTATTGGATATTAAGATCAAAGAGATTGTTTTAATTAAATTATGTAATTAAATGGACTTTTACAAAATAGATTGTTTAATACAATTTAATGATAGGAAACATGTTTTAAATAAATTGTTTATTTGTATAATAAAACGTTTGTATAATAAAACTATGAATTAAACAAATATTCATTGGTTTATTCTGAAATTCTGAAACACCTTTAAGATATATAATTCTCAAAAGTGATATTCAAAAATACTTATACTTATTGTTAAACGCACATTACCCAGAATCAAATCAATTTTTTTACCTCTTTCAAAGAAATAAAATACGATAAAAATTATATTATTAAAACATTGGTTTTAGAGCATGTTGTATGCTTGTAAGCAGACAAAAATGCATGTAAATGTGAAATTATTTGTCATAAATGTCACAAAATGTAAACAATGAAATATAATTACGTCGATACAAATTACTGCCAGATTGCCCAAAACGAAAAAAGGTAAATGTAATTGTCCAATTAGTTTCTTTATGGAATCAACATAAGTAAACCAAAAATGAATATTTTTTTAAAGATCTGAAGTAACAAAAAAACATTTCAGACATGCTGGGCCTTCCGACAATCTTTTATAAATAAAATCTCATAAAGGTAACAAAATGTGAACAAAGAAATATTTTGACGTCCATACAAATTAATGAATTGCTTAAACTGCCAAATTGCCCGAAACGAAAGAAAGAAAAAAAGAAATGTAATTGTCCAATGAGACCAACACTAGTAAAACAAAACATGAATAGTTTTTAAAGATCTGAATTAAAACAAAAACATTTCAAGCATGCTGGGCCTTCAAATAATCTCTTATATAATGCTAAATAAAATATCGTGTATACTAATAGAAGATACGATTATCAAAGGTTAACACAGTATGAGTATTTAATGAAATTAAAACATTTTATTTTGCATTCAATTTTTCAATTATAAATGATATATTCAGTAAACATTTACTAAATTTCAATAATCTTCTGCATTTTAAGTACTTAAACCAAAGATGACCATAAACTATATTTAAAAGTTTAACATCTTATTATTTTGGATGTCAAACACTGAATCAGAAGTATTGCGTCAACATAATTGTACAAATGTTAAAGATATGTATCACCAAACTGGAGGCAAAATATAAAAATTGACCAACGAATTTACATGACATGCCCAAGCTAATTTTTGAAAGAAAAAATAATAAAACGTTTCCGTTCAATGGCCAGTTTACGGAATTTTTCGTTATAGTAGCCACACTTTTGTAAAGCAACATTCCAGAATTGTCTTCCTATGCTATTTCATTTGCAAACATGTTGTTGCAGTTGAATTCGTGAACAATCATCCACTTTTTCTCATTGTTTCATAAAAGCTTAAACAGATTTGAATGCGGGTAATCTGAAGGAAAAAATAAGCCGTTTAATTATTGAAAATACATATACACATTCAACTATGAGTTATAATTTCTTTTAATGTTAAATACCACATTTGAATCGGGCAGTAACCTTTTTCACTGTTTTGATATTATCAGACAAGAGTGAAGTACCTTTATTTTAAACCGAAAGAGGTACGAAACGGGAAAAGTGAATGTTCATTTTAAACCAAGCTTATTATTGATATATATTTCTTTCAGAGAAAGAAATAAATATATCATCGTATTAAATAAATTTTAAGTCCATATTGTGTTATGATAAACTACAACACTAATTATCATTAAGCTGTTCTAATATACCTAATATACTTAAACTTCAAAACCAAAGTAGGAAGTTGGAAAACCCAAGATAATCTACATTTTATGTTGTAGAGAAGCTGAAAGAATAATATTGTTATCATAGCAGGTTCAAAATGTATTCCTACGGTCCAAATAAAAATGAAAAATTGTATAACATATTTATATCTAATTCTATTATATATCTGCAATTTCTCCAAACATCAGCAATATTTCAAATAATGTATTTCCACTGAGGCAGTGCGTCATTACAATTACATGCAATAGGGTCTCTTTACCCAACCTACTTTTCACGCCAAGGAGACAAAGAAAGCCATAGTGTAGCAAACGTTTATAAAATGGCAAAATATACCATCAACTTGTTACTTACATTTGTTTGATATACTTGAAGGCTCATTTGAAGCACAAGTAAAACAGAATCTTTGTTTTTTGGTAATAAAATCGATTGTTTTATCCATTTTCAATTACAAAATGTGGTATGTTATTCTTCTTTTCATCAACAAATCAATTTATTTAAGAAAACAGTTCACTTACAATATTTATACAAATAATTTTGTTCATTTCACTTCGGATATACGAGCATGTGAATATGAAATAAGATTCAGCTTTCATCTTGCAGACATTTTTAATTAGGGGAGCCATGATTTTGAGCATGGGGTCTCGATGAAATATGATCGGTAAGATATCTGACTTTTAACAGTCATACAAAGTGGTCTTCTTGTACAATTATCTATTTAACACCTGTATAGACTGTAAGTATCTCTTTCAAATTGAATCTACTTTACATTTCAAAGTATGACCTACACTGTGTCGATGTGACGTAACCCCCCCCAAAAAAAAAAACAAAAAAAAAAAACAACAACAAAAAATTAACAGTAAGAATGCATTGCGTTCGTTAGATATATAACAACAACAAGTAATCATCGATACATCTTTGCATATTTATTCTATGTTCTTGTATAGGTCTTTTGCCAAGGGTTTAATCGGTTTATTGCAGTTGTCTGATGTACAGCAATATGTACAATCAAATTCTAAGGTAATCACGCTGTTTTCGTCAAATATACGGCATCTATCGCTGTCAGAGCTTGCTATGAACCAATCCCGATAGCAGGTGTCAAAGTTGCCGCAGCTGAAATGCATATTAAAACACATTGTTATCAAGTAATATTCGTTGCTGAGTCTAACATTCAGAGTAATACATTGATATTCAATGAAAAATGATATTTCTTATTATTATTGGCTTTTTATATGGTCTTGGCATGGTGCAAAATTTCCACAACAATTTAAAGCTATGTTAAGATTTCATAAAAAACATTTCTGTTTTCGACTTTTGTTCTTATTTTAATGTTCAGACAATCAAAATGAGTTGAATAAGCCTAAATATTTGATACCCTATTGCGGCTAAATCGGAAGTACAATTTCATTTTGCATGGGAAACTCCGCCTTAGGGTCATCCGTACATCAATAGAAAATCAACACATATTTTTAATTAGCAGTCCGAATTTAACGTTATATTTCCGTATTATATTACAGATGTTTTCATACCAATTCGAATTTTTATGAGATGATTCCTTTTTTGTGATTGACAATGAAACTAAAACGTTAAAAGTTTGTTTGCACAAGAATATCATATAATTGTTGTGTTCAACATGGTAACAATTGATTTTACCACCATGACGTAGCGCATACACGAGCTAATTACAGTCTTCATTTGCATGTTAAAAGTCGTATACGGACTTAAGTGTTTTTGTGTGGCTTTCCTTTAAAAAACATAACTTATGAACTTAGTGCCATTCCATTGAAAGCGGCGTACGGTCCCCAAGTTAAACAATACCTGTGCCCTAAACGAGGAAACAATGGGCGGAACTAAGCAAAATGAATTTTGAAAAAGGTGGTCAGTGGTTATGAAGCCTTCATATCACAGATAAGCTGTCCTGTCTAAAGACGAATTTCAAAAGCAGACCACATATCCTAAAGGTAATTTTACATTATTCAAGAAAGGAATACTGTAATCACCCAAGTAGAAAAAGCCAAATAGAATGAACTAAAATACCACAAACGAAACAATATTGTCGTTCTGAACGATCTTTAAGGATCGGAAATATAACATCTCTTATTGTAGGTACGGGGTAAAATTTTACAGTCTTCACATAGCAAAAACAACGATGATGTGGCGATAAAATAGAGAGAACTAAAATCAAAGTTTATAGTGACTCAAAATTATTACTGATTGGCCAGTTACCAAAAACAACATTTTTCTTCTTTTCCTGAGTGGCAGTTATACTGATTTTGTATTTTGTATGGAAATCAAATTGTTTACAGTTTGCTCATTTTATTTTTACATTAAGTGGTTCTTTCCCCAGGTAACAAACATCTGACACAATCTAAAACCATAATTTCAACGTTTTAAACCCATGATGGTTCTTTCTAAAGAAGTAAAAATATGAGACAGAATGTGCATTAAAAGTGGATAAGGTCAGCAGTGGACTCATTTTTGATAATCATTTCAAATATTGATGAAAACCAAAGAAATATATCATATGGACATTTTGATCAAATATTACTCGAAAACAAATGTTGATAAAATATTGAGAACTTTATTCTTCTGGACTAAAACATAGCTTTCAAACCTATATTCGACGAGGTTGTAGCTGAGTTTAATTTTGGTTTTTCAGCTGTGCACGAGTGAATCAGTATTTTATTTCACAACGCATAATGACTTATTTACATCACTACACATCACATCGTATACAGACTCAGTCAAGCCGAGTCTGCAATTCTCATGTAATTTTGTTGTGATAAATAATTCCGAGAGATCCTAAGTTTCAAGATTTTTTAACATTTCAACAGACCTTTGTAAATTCGAGTATAATAAATATTGAATTGTATTCTTTTTGGACTCGGAAAATGAAAACGAATGGCTGGGCAAAGTACAGAGTTGATTTGGTATTGATTTATTTGATAAAACGAAGCTAAATCGAGTAATATTAGGATTCGGTACGGACCTTTTGGTATTGGGAATTGAAGACGAAGATTGAATCCAGCACTTATGGATATTGGATAACATGGTATAAGTTTTGAAGTAAAATTTCATTGTTCATAATACTTACCTTCTAGTTACCAACCGTGTTCCATCTCTATGGTTAGAAAGTTTGTTAATGCAGTAATTGTTAGGAGGGCTACACGTTTGTGGTGCAAACAATTTTTCACACAGGAACTCGGGACCAGAGCAAACATTACAAGTAACTAAAAAATATAACATAACATATAAAATGAAAAATAAAGCATAATTAGGACTTCCCCCTGGTTAAAAAACCGTACCCCCCCCCCCCCAAAAAAAAAAAAACCCCCCCCAAAAAAAAAAAAAATAAGAAAACAACATTTATTATACATTCTTTTAATATAAAATAAAAAAGCAAAATGTTTTCTGAGTTAAAAACGTTCGTGTTCGAATGGTGCCAGGTAAAAGTAAACCAAAACAAAAAAATCGGATCATTTATACGTTCCGTAAATGGTGGGGGAGAATTGTATTGCTAAACAAATCGTCTGCTTAGTATTATTCTTTTTCAGAAAATGCAATCCATTTTTTAAGAAATGATACAGATACCTGATAAAGTGTTTCTAGGCTACAAGACTTTTGTTGTGACAAAGACCATCATGTTAATAATTGATTCAGAAGTAGTTTATTTTTTACTCCATGTTACAGTGTATAAAGCTATATATGATAAAATATTTTCATTAAAATATAAAAACAGATGAATTATAGTTTTTATCAACCTGGTTTCCTCATAGAATGTTGACTTTATTTATTGTACATGTATATTGTATTAAACAGAATAAAATGTTCCGGAACAAAATATTCAGCTATTATTTGAGTTGGTTTTGCGAAGAATTTACTTATGTCTTCCGCTTTAAGGAATATATACTGACAAATTTCGTTCAATCTAGGTATTCGTGATTCCTTTTTATCACAAATTTAACAAAAAATCTATTATTCAACAGACGACAAATATATATAGCAGCTTTATACACATTTACACCAAATTGTAATTATGTAACGGATACATAAAGTTATTTTAAAAAATACAGACCAGGTACTGGCGGGGACGTTTGTGGCAAATTTTGTGTTGTTGCCATTGCTGTTGTTGCTTCTGTGGATGCGGTGGTTACTGCTTGTGTTGTTGCTGTTGTGGGTGCAGTTGTTGCTGCTGAGGCTGCGTGGGTTGTTATACTTGTACCTACAGTTGTAAATCAAACTGTTCAACAAAATCCAATAGAATAGAAAAAATGTGTCAAGAAAAGCCTATTGGGTTATTTGGTGCAATCATTGTGCTTTTTCTATTTGAACTCTTATAACAGAGCTCAATTTGATTTTGATTTTGTGTAGAAACGCGGAATAGTGTCTTTGTGCAATTTAAACTGGAACTATATTTTATTTTAGTTTATACGAATTTATTTTAGTTCCATTGTGTTAAAGACTTATTGAAACACCCTCAGATCCGTTCATGCAATTAACAGTTCTAAGCAGTGAGTGTAAAAATTCTTGCTTAAGGAAACAACGGCTCGCCACATGACGGTGTTCATTACTAGTCCGACGCGTTTTCTTCTCAGCCACGCCACAACTCGTATTCGCACTTTTTGTTGAGCCATTTACGTCTTCCATCGTGTGCCAACTTCAGAAGATTTTGACGGTAGTATAATACAACAAAAACAACACAATTGTGTAAATAAACGGAATAATTTGTAAAAAAAGGATCTTCCGGTAACACTTTCAAAGTCTTGAGAAATTCATACAATTAGTTGATACAGAATATCTCTTTGTTCAAGTGGAAAGGAAGTTAACAGCTCGAATCCGTTTCTGAAACTGACAAGTACGAGTAATAATATATGTTCAGCTTCTTGCATAAGGAAACAAGGACTTGCCTCTGACGGAGTTTAAACCCACAAGACCAACATCCCTTAGAAAACTAGTCTGAAGTGTTAACTATTCGGCCGCGACGCCATTATTCTTATAACACGTTAAAATTTTAATAATAAATTATGTTTTCTATGTAAATTGTCATTAGTTTACCATTATCCGGCAAGAATTAAAGTAATTGCAATCGAACCTGGACGGCGACAAACAATTTACAAGATTTGGTCATATTTACCCGTTCATCTCCTGCCCTTTTTGCAACAAATAAGTTGTACGGATGAAATTTTCTATGCTAATAACTGTTAGTATTTCCTTCATGAACAACACTAGTATGCAGGGTATCATATTCACATTTTACAATGTTTAAATCTTAAAAGAAATTGTTTCTTTAGAAAAAAGAGGACATTTTTAATGAAATTGTGTAAAATTCCATAAATTGTAAAAAATTCTGTTCAAAATGATTCGATATGAAACTAGAGCTTGCCACAGGTGCCGAATACCCCCGACACGCCCCTATCAGAAAACGTGCCTTTAAGTTCATAATTTTGCACACAAAAGTAGTTAAAGTGACATTATGCTCATATTTTCAAAGTCAAGTTGAATTGGCTTTATATTTCAAAAGATTGACTGTTTTAATGGTGTTTGACAATAGTTTATATTGGAAAATGTTTAAGATAAAATTTATAATCTACCTAAAATGTACATGTATATAAAAAACTGTCCCACTCTGTTATAAATTAAAAGTTACAGGTAAATTTTAAATTATATTTACAGAAATTTCGTTTGGATCCGGGGGTTATTTTTTGTTTACTCGAAGTAAATTATTAAATCAAAAAGAATGATGGCAAAAATGAAAATCTATTTTCACTTTCACATGTCCACTCACTAAATACCTTTAGATGGACATGATGTCATTTTCAAATGTTTTAAATTGTCCTACAGAAGATATATGGTGACAATCTACCGAAAAATCATGGCATCAAATTGAAAGAAGAATCAACAAAACTTTCGGAGCATCTAAACGCAAACATTTACGTAAACATACTAGTATCACATGACTCTATAAATTCTTTTTTAAGCTACCCATGCATAAAGGAGCAAAGCAAAGAGTCACTTTAATACCCATTAATGTATCTTATATTTGAAGGTAATTAGGTAAATTAAATTATATCTGTTTTTTGTTTAATACTAAATGTATAATGTAATAGTAATTGTATATAAAACGAGTCAGTTACGCGAATATATCACCGTCTGGGGCGACATCGAGGGATATTTCTGCTAAAACAATAGATAGGCCCTTAGACCTAGAGTTGATATAACTTACAAATTTCATAAATTAAATCTATTTTATCGCAATTTCATTTTTTATGTCAAAGGAATCAGCAAAAAAATATAAAAAAAAATCAAAAAAAATCGAGAAATACTGACAGTTATGTGTACGTAATTTATTGAGGGATGTCGGCCGATAAAAATTCGAGAAATGTTTTATACATTTCTGTAATGTTCCATATAAAACTCAATTCCTAGACATATTTTTGCACTGAAAGGTTTCACGTGAATGTGTTCTCCTCACAGTGCGAGACATCAATCAGACGCTGAAATGTTTGCACGCCCATCCTGTCCATTCAAGCCAGTAAGTATCAACTATTACATAATTAGCAAAAGCAACTGATCCGTTAGCCACAATATTTTGTATTAAGACCACCTCACCATTTAATAATTTACTTGTCAAACCTTTCTTAGTATAAAAGTTAAAATACAGAAAGAAATATGCAAGGGATTTCATCAACACTTAAAGAATTTGAACTTATAAAGAATAAGATGAAGTACTGAGTTACCATTGTAGATTTGCTGTCTGCTGTAACAGTTTTAAAAATATAAAATCTGATCAAAAGAGATAACTCACAAGCGAAAGATTGATGATCATAAACTCGTGTTTATTCGATTCTAAACCACAGTAATTTTTATTCCATTTGCTCTTTTTAAGCTCTTTGTACATTTACATGCATTTTAAGTAAAAATTAATTTCTCATTCAATCGGATCCCTTCGGCTATTATGCTTCGACATAATGACGCGACATATATCAATTATTTCAGTCATATGATTTCGCCTTTTTGTTTGATTATAAAATCTAGTCATTAATAATTGCTTTCCCTTTATGTGACCCGGATCAATTCGAAAAAATAATAGAAGAAGGTATCTTGCTAGCTACATCAAGATACTTGATTTCATTTGATACTTTCTCGCGAACAAGAACTGCCCTATGTGAATAGCGTTGTTGTGTATTTCTGTTCTACGTTAGAAACCACATATTCAAAGTTTACAGTAATAACTGATTTTTTGTACGATTGCTTCTCATTGCTACGATACAATTATTTTATGAAAAAAACCCACAAAAAAACAATATAGCCGGTAATTAATAAATATTTTCCCAGATGAATAATCTCCCTTTTTCCAAAACCTTAACTGTAAAAAAAATACATTTTTAAGTTATTCCTTTGATGGCTAAAGCACCTTTAAAACGAATTTTTACTGACCTGTTGTGGGTGTGACTGTTTTAGGCTGTTTTTGTGTAGTTGTTGTTGATTTGATCGTTGATGGAAAAGTAATGATTGGTGCCGGCGTTGACGCTACTGTATGCGAAGTGCTGTTTGTTACAAGAACGGACCCTGTTCCAATAGTACCGTTTCCATAGGATACAGGTGGACTTTGTGTAGAAACGCCCAATTGGTGATTTGTAGTTACAAAGGAGCCTGTTCCACTTGTAACATTTCCACCGGCTCCAGGTGGATTTTGTGTAGAAACATCCAAAGGTTTATTTGATGTTACTCCAGAGCCTGTACCTTCTGTACCGGTTACGCCAGATACAGATTGACTTTGTGAAAAACCGACCGCTGGATTCGTTGTTATTACTGCGGAGCTATTTCCGTTACTGTTACCACCAGATCCAGATGGATTTTGTGTAGAACTATCTATTGGGTTGTTTGTTGTAACTCCAGTAGAACCATTTCCAACGAGTCCAGCGGGATTTTGTGAAGTAACGCCGATTAAGTTATTTGTTGTTACGCCGGAGTCTGTTCCATAAGAACCAAAGGCCCAGGATCCAGACGTTCTCTGTGTTGTTACCCCAATTTGGTTGTTTGTAGTTTCTTCGGACCCTGTTCCATTCGAACCATTTCCACCGGATCCAGATGTATTTTGTGTAGTTACACCAATTGGGATATTTGTTGTAACGCCGGAGCCGGTTCCGTTCGAACCATATCCACCGGATCCAGATGGATTATATGTAGTTACGGTAATTGGGTTGTTTGTTGTAACTCCGGAGCCGTTTCCATTCGAACCATTTCCACCGGATGCAGATGGATTGTGTGTAAATACGCCAGTTGGGTTGTTTGTTGTTAATCCAGAGCCTGTTCCATTCCAACCATTTCCGCCGGATCCAGATGGGTTTTGTGTTGTACTACCGACTGGGTTATTTGTTGTTAATCCAGAGCCTGTTCCATTCCAACTATTTCCGCCGGATCCAGATGGGTTCTGTGTTGTAATACCGACTGGGTTATTTGTTGTTAATCCAGAGCCTGTTCCATTCCAACCATTTCCGCCGGATCCAGATGGGTTCTGTGTTGTAATACCGATTGGGTTATTTGTTGTTAATCCAGAGCCAGTTCCATTCCAACCATATCCGCCGGATCCAGATGGGTTCTGTGTTGTAATACCGATTGGGTTATTTGTTGTTAATCCAGAGCCTGTTCCATTCGAACCATTTCCACCGTATCCAGATGGATTTTGTGTAGTTAGGCCAATTGGGTCATTTGTTGTTACTCCGGAGCCTGTTCCATTCGAACCATATCCACCGGATCCAGATGGATTTTGTGTAGTAACACCAATTCGGATATTTGTTGTAACGCCGGAGCCGGTTCCATTCGATCCATTTCCACCGGATCCAGATGTTTTGTGTGTAAATACCCCAACTGGGTTGTTTGTTGTAAATCCAGAGCCTGTTCCATTCGAACCATTTCCACCGGATCCAGATTGATTGTGTGTAAATACGCTAGTTGGGTTGTTTGTTGCTAATCCAGAGCCTGTTCCATTCCAACCATTTCCGCCGGATCCAGATGGGTTCTGTGTTGTAATACCGACTGGGTTATTTGTTGTTAATCCAAAGCCTGTTCCATTCCAACCATATCCGCCGGATCCAGATGGGTTCTGTGTTGTAATACCGATTGGGTTATTTGTTGTTAATCCAGAGCCTGTTCCATTCGAACCATTTCCACCGGATCCAGATGGATTGTGTGTAAATACCCCAATTGGGTTGTTTGTTGTAAATCCAGAGCCTGTTCCATTCGAACCATTTCCTCCGGATCCAGATGGATTCCGTGTAGTATTACCGATTTGATAATTTGTTGGAATGCCAGAGCCGGTTCCATTTGAACCGTTTCTACCGGATCCAGATGTATTTTGTGTAGTTACGCCAATTGGGTCATTTGTTGTAACGCCGGAGCCTGTTCCATTCGAACCATTTCCACCGGATCCAGATGGATTATGTGTAGTCACGCCAATTGGTTTGTTTGTTGTTACTCCAGATCCTGTTCCATTCGAACCATTTCTACTGGATCCAGATGGATTCTGTGTAGAAATAATGATTGTGATATTTGTTGCAACGCTGGAGCCGGTTCCATTTGAACCATTTACACCAGATACAGATGGATTCTGTGTAGTTACGCCAATTGGGTTATTTGTTGTTACGCCGGAGCCGGTTCCATTCCAACCATTTCCACCGGATCCAGATGGATTATGTGTAGTAATACCGATTGGCTTATATGTTGTAACACCGGAGCCTGTTACATTTGAACCATTTTCGCCGGATCCAGATGAAGTCTGCGTAGTAACACCAATCGGGTTGTTTGTTACTCTTGAGCCAGTTCCATACGAACCGTTTCCGCCGGATCCAGATGGATTTTGTGGAGTAACACCTATTGGGTTATTTGTTGTTACCACGGTTGAATTTTGTATAGTTACACTAATTGCGTTATTCGTTGTTACTCCGGAGCCGGTTCCATTTGAACCATAACCACTGGATCCGGATGGATTTAGGGTTGTTGTCCCACCAAGTAAAATATAAGGTACTAAAATTATAAACAAGAGCGATCACATATGTTGCCTCATTATAGCAATAACTCGGCAGCAAATCATTTAACCTAAAAACATATGCAATACGTACAAAAACACGAGCTACGGATCAATCTTAAATTGCTGAAGGGTTTAAAAGGAGTAGTCGGGACAAATTTTAAATAATATAATTAGGAAAAAGCCATTACCCAGACACAAATCAATGAACCAAAAAATAACAATCAGATGCACAACTAAACATCTTATTGTCATCCTGTAAAGTTTTGATGAAATTGCAACCACGGAGATGTCCAGGCAAGATTCTGTGTAGCTGGCAACACAAAAAAGCATTATTTTTATTCAAAGTCCATAAATCGGTCAAAAATGATTCAAACGAAATACCTGTGAATCATGCACAACTTCTTGACCTACCAATCAATCCTGTTAAGTTTGATTGAAACTGCTAGGTGGTATAAGAGGGGTAGTCCGCACAAACTTTGTAAACACCCTTTTAAGGACCATAATTCGGTCAAAATTCATTTAACCGAAAATCCCGTGTGGTAAGCGCAAATATATGAACTACCAACTAATCCTGTAGAGTTTCATTAAAAATGCATTGATGGTAAAAAAAGAGTTGTCCAGACAAATTTTAAAGATGAAAATATTGAAAGGACCATTACTCCGTAAAATATCATTCGAACATAAAAAATCAATGATATGCACAACAACACATAGTTCTGATAATTCCTGTAAAGTTTGGATGAAAACGCACCAGTAGTTTGTGAGAAGTAGTTCGGACAAGCTTCTGTGTAGCTTGCAACACACAAACAAGAGCGATCAGTGATCACTGATAATAGATAATAGAGCCTAATGATAGAGAAAATTACATGTAGCAGCTACTGTGTAGCAGGAGACGAAAACACCATTAACAGTGCAAAACGCGATTAACATCCACAAAGGCATTACTCAGCTTAAAATCAAATTCAAATGGAAAACCATAGTAATGTGCGCAACTACTTGAGCTACTCATGTTAAGTTTCATTGAAATTGCATTAGTACAATAAGAGGAGTATTTTGGATTATTTGTTTAAATACAAATTATTTAAAGATCCTGTATGTTGTAATTAAGGTTGTTACCACACTTAAATGAAATTTTATATATGTAGATAATTATGCTTCTAAACTTTCAAACATCTAAGAATATGTAAAATATGTATTGCAAATATTAATATACATTATATGTAATCATTAAAATATATGCTTTGGTTGGTTCAAACATATTTATTTAAGCTCGGTTGCAAAACATGTTCTTGCAACTTAAATTTATCACTTTCGAGTCCGCTTCCTGGGTTCAACCAGTACTGGTGTCATATGAAGAAACATGGTCGTGACATACTAAATTACCTCCCTTTATAAACATGAAATGTATATTCGTTAATATCTTTACAAATGATGTTTTTTGGAACTTTCAATACTGATAAATTTCCATTTGAGCATTTTATCTATGATTAAAAACCATAAAAAATTAGTTACAGGATCTTTAAGGGCCACTATTCTAACAAAAATCATTGAAACAAACATGCTGATGTTATGCACAACTTGACTAGATATTGATCATTCCTGTAAAGTTTTGATGAAATTGCACCAGTAGTTGCTGAGTAGTCCGGACAAGCTTCTGTACAGATGGTTACACATAAAAAACACCTTTCTTATTCAAGGACCAAGCTCGGCCAAAATTTATTAAAGCAGAAAGCCTGCGTAATACATTTATATGTAAGTATTTGAGCTTCCAACCAATCCTGTAAAGTTTCAATGAAATTGCATTAGTGTTATGAGAAGTAGTCCGGACAATCTGTATTATCACCTTTTTGTCAAGGGTCATAACTCTGACAAACATAAGTCAACTAGATAACACGTGTAGATGTGTTAGAACTTGATTTACCGATCAATCCTGTCAAGTTTAATAAAAAATACTTAAGAAGTTAAATAGGAGTCAGGATAAATTTTAAAAATTCATTAAAGAGCTGTAACTCTTTACTTCAGCTTCAGATATATCCTGTAAAGTCTCATGAACCGCAGATGAATCCTGTAAAATTTCACTAGCAGTATAATGGAGTATTCCGGACAAGCTTTTAAAAAATTAAAATCATTAAAGGATCTAATCATAGAAAAAATAATTGTATCGGAGTATGCTGACGATATGCATAACACGACTAGGGTCTTATCATTCCTGTACAGTACCATACGGTTTTGAGGAGTAGTCCGGACAGGTTTTGTGACGGACGGACGAACAGACAGAGAGACTGACAGTCAGACAGACGACGGAGAAGTGATTCCGTTATGTCGTCACTACTCTATAGAGTAGACACAATTAAATTGACTGCCAACATCCTCGTGTATGCTTTTACCAGACGTACTGTGTATCTTACTTGTAACGAATTGTTTCAATAATTTTTGTCTTATGATTTTAGTAACACTAAAGACTATTTTGGTCAGATGGCGACTTTTCAGCTTCAGTGCGAAGAATTACCTCAGGTGCTCTTCCGAGCTGGCACCTGAGGTTCTTTTTTATTTGTTTTGATGCATTTATAAATATTTGAAAATCTGTTTCGTTTCAAACTGTGAGATATGATCGTCTTATAGAATATAAGTTGTCAAAATTAATTTTTATAGAATTGCAGTCATTACCCATCATTTAGACAACCTTCATAAAATGCGAATTTATAACGTAAACGATGGAAACATCATAACTTACTACAACATCCACAAGTTACAGGACATGCCGCTGCATTATCAACACATAATGATTTCGGGGAGTTTTTAAAGTAGTGACAACCTGCTCCATCTACGCATGCGTCAGATTTAGTATCTAAATGCAATAAATCTATAAACATATATTGTATTTTGAATATGATATTTTATCATCAATCATATGCATGTGTATTTCTGCACCTTTTCATTCATTTTCATATTCGTAGTCACATTTATTTCAAAAAGAAAAGCGCCAGAGTGATAAGGACTATAAGACAAATATCTAATCTATTCTATATCATTAACTACTACAAAGGTACTTTGCTAGAAAGATGATACATTATAAAAAGAAACTTTGACTTTTATACCAATCATTATCACTTTCAAAATAAGAAAAACATTCATGTTTACAAGATTCCTAAAAATTGAAGCAGCACTCCTCCACATCACGTTTATTTTAAGCAAGATTTCGGAAATATATCTAAAGTTGAATGATGAGAAGTGATCAAAGAAAATATTTTTCACTGAACAAACGACAATAACAATCCACGTAAACTACCAAAAAGAGGTGCGTTAGTTTCTCAGTAAAATTAAGGTACAAAATACTGCAAACTCGATTTGTTTTCTTAAAAACTCTTTTTTTTTTGGTCTCAAGTTTGATTTTTTTAAAACATTTTTGGCTCATACGGAGGCATGCAGTTTTAAAACTGTACAAAAATACAAAAAATAGACGATTTTTGCTTTTTATGTAAACGGCTCTCATCGCCAGACCGTCTTAAATAAACTGTTTAACATATTTAGACAATTTATTATGCAGATTGGTTTACATTATAATCTATGAGTATTTCGCAATTTAAAAATATTAAACAATTAATTCAAACATGACTAATAATATGATATTTTTTATGATCCAGCTGAGCAAAAATACTTCAATAAAATCAAACTTGGGAAAAATGTACTCTAATGTTAAGAAAGGTAAAAAAAATATTCAAGATTTAAGCAATAACTTAAAAGTTATATGCAACGATAACTGACCGATTTTAGAGAATTTATCGCTATATCTGTACTGCGTGACCAACGCAGTTTACGGCTATTTTTTTGCATATTTTTGACTCATTATTTGTAATTTACTTGAATATTAAATGCCGTTTGCAGTGTGTAAATAACTTCCTTTGCTGACTGAATATTTTACTCTTAAATGCATTTTTAAATGTTCATCAACATTACCAAGAAATCTGGAGGTGTGCTACTTTTATAAATTTTAAAAATATAGTAAGGGCCGAACTGAACATTCTCTTACGTAGTACAGAGAAGTGAAATGTAGTTACACGTATATACAATTTGTATAATACGTGGTTAAATGACAAGACTTGGAATCAGATGGCATTATATTGCATGACTCGGAATCACATATGACATCACATGACATTGCATGAAATAACATGACACTTTATCGCATGAGCAAATGTGGCGACACATGACTTATAAATACGCAATAACGGAACACCGAATGGCACGAAATGTTGCACATGGCGTGATGTATCACACATTTCATGACAAAATGTGATGTGTCACACATGACGTAACATGATTTGACATGACATGAAATCACACAATCGCATATGGTAAAAACTCGTATTGCGTATATATTAGCTTCGAAACTCTCTTACTTACTATGCAGACTACAGTCAAGTTTATAACCCACGAAATCTGTAAAAAAAGGAAAGAAAAAAGGTTAACATTTTCATGCGTGACGTATTAACGCAACATATTAGAAATTTAACGATAAGTAAAATCTTAAAAATCAGATTAAAAAAGTAGTTTACTGTAAATTAGAAAACGTTACTCTTTTTCCACACGCTCATAATATTTTATTGATAAAAAAAGTAATATGTTGGAAAAGTATATATAACACTAATATCCATAGAAGATCAATTTTGAACGAAACTGACACACATACAATGAAATAAAAAAAAACTATAACTCAGACAACAAAAAAGTTGGGATGATTCGTGTTGTTTACATTTTTCCACGTCACATATATAGCAACTGTAAAGCTTTATCCTACTCAAGTCCTCCCGCTCCCTCCTTCCAGACATACTGGTTTGTTTTAAGGCAAAAGCGCAACAATATTGACCTTCATTAAGCTGGCTTTTCAATTTTTTCTCATGTCCTGGATGATTTATTGCCTCGGTGGTAAGTGACAATAATTCACTTAAAGACAGCAAGCTTGGAATTTAACAGAATAAGTGCTTTGATTCTTTAATTTGTAAATTACCTGGACACATTTCGCTTGAGCATACATCGTCTTCATGAGACTCTCCAATACAAAAGTCTCCATCAGAGCATGTTCTACTACGACTCATTATGCATGTATTATTTGGTCTTAACTGACACTTCCAGTCACTCCAGGAGTCCCACGTTTGTTCTGTATTGTATAAATAAAAAAACATGATTAATTTGTTATGCATGGATGATGATTCATTTCACTATAATTACACATGATCAATGGCACATGATTAAAGGTTATATCATAATGACATATGATAAACAATTAAATTGCTATGGCATAGGCTTTACGTTTATCCTATATTGATTCATGATTAACGATTACAGAATAATGACACATTATTTATGTAAATTGTTCTTAAAAATCATATCAATCGATAACAATATTATGACACATGATTTCGTTTATAGTTTATGGACACATAATCTCCGATAAAAGAATTATGATAAATGATTAACGTTAATCGTACATGGCCACATGATCAAGATTACATAATTATGTTACAATTTTTATGTTTATCATATACTGATACATAGTTAACGAAAGTACAGATTTATACACATGCTTAACGTTTATCGTATATTGACATATGATTAACGATAAAAGAATAATGACACATGATTAACGCTTATCCTATCAGATAATTTTATGACACATGAATAGGTGTTTATCGTACGAGGACATATGATTTACGTTTAAACTATATTTAATTTAAAACATGATTAACGATTACAGAATTTTAAAACACACTTTTCGGTTATTCTTTATTAAAACGTGATTGACAACTATGTAAATATGAAACATGATTTACGTTCATTTTTGAATGGAAACATGATTTAAGATTACAGAATTATGACACATTATTTACGTTAATCCTACATGGCTACAAGATAAACGATTACAGAATTTTGACACATGATTAGTTTTTATCCTATATGAATACATAAAAAAAAAACGATTTTAGAATTTTTGACACACAACGTTTATTCGTTATATACAAGTGATTGACGATTATGTCATTAAGACATATAATTTATGTTCATCCTATATGGATACATGATTAACGGTTTCAATATTTCGGATAATCGATTTCATCGATTTCGGAAAAGGTGCTGATGTTTACGCTAGGTCTTAACCACCTGCCTTTTTGTGTTTTTGTGGGCAAAAAAACAAAACAAAACACAACAGGTTATATCGTCATTATTTTTTTAAATATTTCATTACATTCATATGGAATAAAATGAAGCGCCCGTTCATTCTAGTGCAAAACCAATACAGAAAATGTTTCCTGCGAAAAATAATTCGTTTTTGTTTTAAAAATCAAAATCGCGTAAACATCTGATTGTTCAAACACGCCATTATATCATTTTTTGTCAGTCCGAAACATTTCCGATTAAAATTATGAATATAATTGGGATGCATGTATTTAGTACTTCTGAAAAAATTACATCTTGGCATATATTGTATTGAGTTATTTTTTTCCCCAACACATATCATACAAGTAATAGTAAGAGCATCGAAACACAAGGCTATCTGATTTGTACGGCTGTTTTATGTTCTTTCTCTTTTATATCATAGTCAAACATAAAAACGCATTCCCTGTTGTCACAATATGAAACCACTAAAATCAGTAACCAATGAACGAGCATCTGAATATGATATTTTTATCACTTCCCTTTCTCTGTCGTCATTATAAGTAAACCCCAGAAAAAATGAGCCAATCAATGAGTGCAGGTAACTAATACCGGTACCCGCACTCCAGTTAACGCACTGTGCATGTACATGTATATGTAACAATTTAACTCTGACACATTTTCAACAGTCTCCGAACTATGATACAATATCACGATGTATAGGCACCATTCTGTATGCAATTTGTTATGTGTGGGCTAACTGGCCGGCCAGTTATGTGTGAGGAGGCCTATATATTAATGTTCTTTTCGTTTAAATAAGTGTTTTAATAAGTGATTTATAAATCAATAAAAATTAATGTACGAACATCAGTCTCTTTAATTCTCGAAAACCAATAAGAGATGTCTACCATATTGGTGACAGTAAGTTTAAAAAAACGTACATCAAACCTGGACAAAGACTTCATTCAACACACAGCCTCTCCTACTCGAAATGCCTCACCAATCTGTAGTATTTCCAGAGTAGACATTTTCTATCTGTTTCATTCTACACCATCGATTCTTTGTTCTCACACACGCCAGTCACTCAACTTGATTCCATTCAGATCAACTAATATGATCGCGAATTTATAAGAAGAAAGGCACTGGCTATAATAACTGTTATCTAGCCATTGTTTTAGTGTAAAATGGTTTACATAGTTCATAGATATCACAGTTCTTACTTCACTCCATTTTTGTTCTTTGAGAGTTTATTGTAACACTATTAAAACGAGGGACATTTTGCACGTTTACATTCCTTACGCGAAACATTTTTAAAAAAAGCCAACTTAGGTCTCTACTCTTGGCCATTATGCCTTCCATATTGTTCATGAAGTTTCAAATCCAAAGATATCTTATGGACTCAAACACCTGTTCTTGTATTCGGTGTTTGAACCTCCTCCCCTTATATATATAGTGTCAGTAATAAACAAAAGTGAGTGGTAGTTCGGAGACATAATCGTTCCACTAAGTACTTTAGACTATTACACTAATGTAAGGCATTACTTGGATGATTAGCCAAGTTGCATTTTAAAAAGGACAGTGCACTCTTAACAAAAATATTTATAATTACACGCAATCTGTGAATTGGTCGCCAAGTGTACAGAACTATATGTATAAAATACGTGTAACATGTAAACTAACAATAACCATACATTATGGTTCATCAATTTTGATAAGGTTGTATTAATTTTAAATGCAAACAGCGCTTATGATTAATTTAACGTTTAATACAACAAAGTTGTGTAACAAACCCTACACATGAACAACACAACATGAATTTTCCGAGACATCTTACTGGCCTACATGCGGCATCTGCTGGGTTAAATCAGCGAGTAAGCGAGTGATGCTTGAGATTTTGCACGTATCGGCGTCAAGACAACTAGAAGAATCTGGAATAGTGAACAGCATTGTATATGACTTTAACAAAGCATGTATTACCTCCCCTGACGGCCATGTTAATGATTATTTCCATTATATCAATTGCTTTAAGATAAAAAATCTGTCACAATTCTATCACCTTCATGTAAACGTATAACACTCTATCACCTTCATGTAAACGTATAACACTCTGCTATAACATTATATATCTTTATACATGTGGAAGAATTTAACGATGCACCTAAATCAGCTGTTCATATTGCTTTATTTAGATTAGGTAGAATATCCTTTTTGGCAGGGGAAGTACATAATGTCAAAATCGGGAACTTATGAACATTGTCAATGGCTGATAACATATATTTATAAAATTTGTGAAAAAATCCATTTTAGTGTCCAGTACGCTTAATGCTAAAATAAATTTATAAACTAAACTTCGAAAGGAAAAGTAAATTTGTCACCTGTCAATTACCCAAGATGGAAAATAATAATAATTTAATGTAAAACTTTTATATTTACTAACATTCTATAAATAATTTAAACAAAGCAGGGTATATCTTCACTTTCTATCGATATCATTGGCAATTACTTTAACTTGAAACTCATCTGCATATTTAGACATGTTAAACGTCTTGTTTACATTTAATAAAAATATAATGTGCATGGAAAAATATATATATGCATCTAGGGCCATGGCTTAAATGACACTTATATTAATTCAAAGCATTGATGATGTTTATGTTCACGAAGCACAATCTTTTTTACGAATTCCTTTCAGTAGGCTTTTTTTGTAACGAATTAAATTCTCTATATTTTATTTTCACACATTTTTATTTTAAAATCAGAAAAATGTAAATTACCAGATTTAATCAGTTAATTTAATATGTAAAACTCCAAACACATTTCACTCTTATGAACACTGTGTTATTTTTTTTTTATCATAATGAATAAAATTTAAAGCTACCAAATACTTATTTCCATAACGAAATGTTGTTTAAATTCTTACCGACATCCTTACAATAAACCAAGCCGTCCAAGTTTCATTCAAGCTCTGCAAAGGTAAGAAATCAAATAAAAAACTAGATAAGATTGATATTATTGCAAAATTAAATCATGGAAAAAAAATTGAAAATTCCCAAACATTTTCATAAAGGAAAATAACAGATTTTAGACACAAAACCCTCACAGTTAAAATAAGAAAAAAAAAACGATAATTAAAAGATAATACCGAAAAGTGTAACCCAAGGTATATGTGGTGTTGTGTGGGGGGGGGGTCTCAAAGCGCTCACCTTTGAGGACAGGCTTTGATTTGTGTAAAGGGCAGTGAAAGCTTGTTTTATTACAGAAATTTGAAACTGGACCATACTTTCAAGCAAAATATTATTATGTTAATGGTTACTTTTTTTACATTGGTCCTTGGGTTCAACACTTGCGCATCAAAATCTAAGTAAGTAGGTCACAAGGTTAATATTTAGGAATATCTTATATAATATTTCAATTCTATAATTTAACATGTCAAATGTTAAAAAAATGTCAAAATGTAATATGTGTACGTTAGGAAAACAAAGAAAGTAAAGAAGGTCACTAGGTACAAAAAAATAGGTTCAGGCTGGATATCAATTTGAACCATCTAAAGCTGTGGACATGGTCTGAATTGCCATTAGTTGAAAACCAAAAAACAATAAATTTTAAAGAAGACCACTTGCGCCATATTTAGCAAAACTAACAAAAACGGAATTATTTCAGAGAAACAGGAAACTTGCCGATTTATTTCACAGCAAAAGGAAAGTAACTCTGTTTTTGCGCTTCAGAAAGGGTCCTAAGAAACAGGATTTCTTATCGATTTGTGTTTTTAGTAAGCATTTACTTACAAATAAATCGTTTGATTCCAATTTAATGTTACAGTAGTAATTGCCTACTAAAAAATCACTTATCAATTTTGGATCTAGCATTTCACTGTCAATTTACTTAGATCGATTAAATTTAGCTGATGTATTTAAAATAAACCTTAATGATATACTGCAAGAGTATTGGACAAGGAGTAATATTTCAAAACACTAAATCGACATCAAATATCAAGGGGTTGAAACATAAATTTCTTCAATATATTTAGCTAGCCTATATATTTTAAAGGTTATATTACCTTACCGGCGGCACGTGACATCATTCAACATGGTTCACCGCTGAAAAAGTGTCTGAATCCGCCAACTGAGCGATCAGAACCAGTCGAGCATTTTCGAGGACCGTGTTTTGTTGCATGATCCATCTTTCTTCAACTCTGCATGTCCAATTACTCCATTTCTGACCAGTTTGCTGAATTTTAAGCATTAATTTTTTCGTCAAGTCTGAGCTATTGTCTTTAACATTATCTTTTAAACTACAAATTTGTGACGGAAACACAATCCAAATCATCAAAATATACGTGTGCAATTTGGTAACACAAACATTTTAAGTTAACTTGCAATTTCAATGTTGCATGCTTCCAGATAGAGGAACAAAGCACCTATTGAAATTATGGTCTAACCTTAAACTGGATTATTTACACCGCGTTTTGCGTATTCATCGACGGACGACTCGGAATCTAATAAATCAACTTTCACGAGAGGTATATTTACACACGAAAATAAATAAATCTATACTCGATTCTGGCAACTATTTAAACGCGAGACGCTCCGGACGTGATCCGAATCCTATCCCGTCTGTCGCTTGCCGCCGGCATGTCCTAGAAAGTTTTTTTTGTTGTAGATCAGGGAAAAAATTTAACTTTATGCTCACAATAATTTATTGTTGCTTTTTTCGTTTCTCATTTTCTCAAACATGTGTTATATTTTTAAATTTAATATTTAATGTTTCCTTTTTACCTTATAGTAAAACTGGGTCTGAAAACTGTTTTAAACATCTCCAATTATAAACAACCAAATTCAAATAACGTCTATGTTTTATTGAAACGTTTATAAGTGGACAGTGACATTATATTTTAATATTATCATCAAATATAATTTCACAGTTTTTGTATCCGGAATTATATAATCCAAATTATAATTTTTATCCAGTTTGCCGTCCACTGATTAAAGTTTCCCTATCAAAAACACATTATATTAAATGCCTAAACCCCTAAAAATAGACAAGAATACTGAGCTTATCCTTCAATGGATAATCGAACTTCGAGCATAAATATTACCCCGTCAATACCCCCGATAAAACAATTTAATTCCTTTATCAATAGAAAAAAAAATCAGTTTAAACCCTACAATGGATAATCCTTCTAAACCTTCAAATTTGCCGGTATTTCGTCGACCCAAAACATGTACTGAAATATCCTTAAAATATCTATCTTGTATTACCTTCGAAAAAAAACCTTGCCGTAACTAAAGTAACAAAAATTAGCACTACATAATGATCAATACCCCAGGCAAATAGCTTTAATTCAAAAAACCAAAAGTGACCTAAAACAAGGGCAACTACAAAACAGGGACCACATCTGACTTTACAGATCAAGGCAATTTAAGGTCAGGGACATGCTTGAGTTGCTTGCTTTTCATCTAGATGGTGGAATATTCCAATTTTTCAAATATGTCCATTTATTTTAACAAAATTATGGCAATTGTTTAGCACAATTCAATGATTTTGAATTTTGCCCTTAATCATCACGTTTTTCATAAGGTCATGGCCAAACCTGAAAATGCTATTTGCAGTTTAAGTGTTGGTCTGTCCATAGTTTAAGTGGGAAACCCCACATATTAGAAACAAATTAAAAACTTTAACTTTTGAAAAAATTCTTATGCCAAAAAACAATGCATCTAATAGTAATCAAAATTTGATTAATATTTCAAGTTCATTTTAGGGGTACAATTTCAAACTTGAGTTGATCAGCATTATGGTTAAAAGCTAGTTTAATTTTTGTCTTAATTTGAAATAAAATCATCTTCAAATAACAAAAATATTGGCAAATTTCTTTAACTTTAATCCATAAAAAATTCAAGGTAATATAAAGGTTTCAAGGTTGAAGATGAATTCAAATAAATAAGAAATAAAAATTTATGGGTAGTAGCTAGGCAAAAATATATTAAAGCAAGGTAAAACAATAAACCCAGAGTGTCATAAAAAGGCAGGAAATACCTGGACATAATTTTTTGTGAACATGGTTCCCACATGAATTGCTTTTCCCTCCAAGTTTTCTCACAATCATCAGGATTATACGTTTGGAGGCAATTTCGTTTTGCTAGACTTAAGCATACGATTGACGTTTTTCACTCCCATCCCGTCCATTCAAGCCACAATAAAATTAAAGCCAAGGGGCGCAATGGCGCCACTGATGTAATTACTTGGACTTAACGGATAACTTGATGCTGGGTTTTAAATTTTAAGCTGTCTGAGATGTCACATAATTAGGCGCAGTTGACGATATAAACCTTGCAAATGCTGACGAGGGCATTGAAAATGAACTAGTTGTTGTCGTTGCGTAGTAGTTTGAAGGTGAAGATGTTGTTGATTTTTGTTCCAGAGGTGAAAGTTGTGTTGCTATGAGGCGAAAAACTTTTTTAATACAGAGGAGATACACATCAAAATTTGCTACGATATTTTTCAAATGAAGAAAATATAAAAGATATTAATTCTTAATGACTCAGTAAAGAAGAAATATGTATACTTTGAATCGATAACAGTAGACAAAAAATAAAATAACAACAAACAAAAACAACAATAATAGATAGAAAAATACTCAGTAACATTCACTCATATTGCTCGAAAGGAATTTCATCCTCTGCTTCACGACACAACAAACGACGCGACCAATTGAAATAATACATGCGTAAGTTATATCAAAGCCCCAATATCTAAGAATCAACTTGATACATAATGTTCTATTGATAAGTTCCGTTTTAGATCCGTGAAATTATTTTTGTTCACCAAAATATTCCACAAAAACTATAATATTTACATTTGCACATAGACATACAAATGAAATAATTCGAGCACGATAAACAGAACTTTCGTCAGTCCTAAAATTACAAGCACAGTCCATTAAAAGAATAACACAGTTTAACATGGGTTAACTGCAAAATGATTAACTAAATGATATTTTTAATAAACTTAATAAACAGATTGGTTACGAGATGTTATCTTCGTTTGACTCTATAGAAAAGTAAGACCGCTTATTAATATGATAATTAATTCAGCTTGAGGAGTTGAAACTTGGTGGAAACCCTCTCATTTTTAGCTCACCTGAGCATATGCTCAGGGTGAGCTATTAGGATCACTCTTCGTCCGTCGTCTGTCGTCCGTCGTTATGTCGTTCCGTTTGTTCCGTTCACACTTTTCAAACGACATTCTCCTCTGAACCCATAAGGCAGATCATAATGAAACTTCACAGGGATGTTCCTTGTGTGAAGCCTTAACAAAGTTGTTCAAAGAATTTTCCATTCCATGCAGAACTCTGGTTGCCAATGGCAACCAAAAAGAAAAACTTTAAACATCTTCTTCTAGATAACCCAAAGAGCTTAGAGCTTAGATATTTGGCATGAAACATCTTCTAGTTAGTGGGTCTACCAAGATTGTTCAAATAAAAGCCCTTGGTCAAAATTTGGCCCCGCCCCAGGGGGTCATTGATTTTCCCTATAGGCATATAGTAAAAACTTTTAAAAAATCTTCTTTTTAAAGAACCCAAAGAGCTAGACCTAAAAGATATTAAGCATGAAACATCTTCTAAATGAGTGCTCTACCAAGATTGTTCAAAATAAAAGCCCTGGGTCAAAATTGGCCCCGCCCCAGGGGGTGCATTGATTTTCCTTATAATGTCATATAGTAAAAACTTAAAAAAATCTTCTTCTAAAAAAACCCAAAGAGCTAGAGGTTAGATATTTGGCATAAAAATATGTTTTCTAATGGATTGTCTACCAAGTTTGTTTTCAAAATAAAAGCCCTTGGGTCAAAAAATTGGCCCCGGGCCCCAGGGGGTCATTGATTTTTCCTATATGCATATAGTGAAAACTTTAAAAAATCTTCTATTAAAGAACCCAAAGAGCTAGACCTAAAGATATTAAGCATGAAACATCTTCTAATAAGTGTTCTACCAAGATTGTTCAAATAAAAGCCCTGGGGTCAAAATTGGCCCCGGCCCCCAGGGGGTCATTGATTTTCCCTAATATGCCATATAGTAAAAAACTTTAAAAAAAATCTTCTCTAACAAAACCCAAAGAGCCAAGAGCTTAGATATTTGGCATTTAAAACATGTTCTTTAATGGATGTCACCAGTTTTTCAAATAAAAAGGGCCCTGGGTCAAAATTGGCCCTGCCCCAGGGGGTCAATTGATTTTCCCTATATGCATATAGTAAAACTTTAAAAAAATCTTTTTATTAAAGAACCCAAAGAGCTAGAACCTAAGATATTAAGCATTGAAACATTCTTCCTAAAAAGTGTCACCAAGATTGTTCCAAAATAAAAGCCCTGGGTCAAAATTGGCCCCGCCCAGGGGGGTCATTGATTTTCCCTATAATGCATATAGTTTAAAAAACTTTAAAAAAATCTTCTTTCTAAAAACCCAAAGAGCTAGAGGCTTGGATATTTGGTGTAAAAAATGTTCTAATGGATGTTCTACCAAGTTGTTCAAATAAAAAGCCCTGGGGTCAAAATTGGCCCCGCGCCAGGGGTTCAATTAATTTTTCCCTTTATGCATATAGTAAAAAACTTAAAAAACTTCTCTTCAAGAACCCAAAGAGCTAAGAGATAAGATATTAAAGCATTCGAACATCTTCTTATTTCAGTGTCCTACCAAGTTTGCTCAAATAAAAAGCCCTTGGGTCAAAAAATTGGCCCCGCCCCAGGGGGTCATTTGATTTCCCCTATATTCATATAGTAAAAACTTAAAAAAAAATTCTTTGAAAGAACCCAAAGAGCTAGAGCTAAAGATATTTTTAGCATTTAAAACATGTTTTTAATGGGTGTCTACAAAATTTGTTTCAAATAAAAGCCCTGGGGGTCAAAAATTGGCCCCGTCCCAGGGGTTCATTGATTTTCCCCTAGATACATAAATGTTGGTAAAAAAGTTTAAAAATCTTCTAGCATTAAAAGCAACCCAAAGAGCTAGAGGCTGAGAATATTTAAGCATGAAACATGTATTCCTAATGGATGTCTACCAAGTTTTTGTTCAAATAAAGCCATTGGGAAAAATTGGCCTGCCAAGGGGAAAGGGGGGGGGTCAAAACCAAAAGTCATTGTTATTTCATAAATTGGTGTAAATAGTAAAATCCTTAACATCAATGAAATATCTTTTTAATGGGTGTCTTCGCAAGTTTGTTCAAATAAAAGCTCTTTGGTTTAAACTGGCCCGGCCCTGAGGGCCTTTGTTCAGGTGAGCGACCCCAGGGCCATCATGGCCCTCTTGTAATAAAGTTTTAATAATTTATTAAACAGCTGGGACAAAATAAGAATACGAATACGTATATGAACTTTAAGATATTGTGTTTTTGTCTCTCCTAAAATTGTAAAAATATTCATGCATTTGAAAAAAGAAACACAAGAACATGATATATAAGTATAATGATTAATAACCGATTAAATAAAAAACGCATTTTTTATGATAATGTAGTTTCCTATATGAATAATACTGGAGGAAACAAAACTTTTATGAAGCCCGTTAACCTTTTGTCATGAAGTTGGTTTCTTCAGAATTAAGTGCTATATCGATTCCGACATATAATCCTCACTTTTACAATTCTCAATCCAAACCACAATCTCTCAGGACTTGCAAGATTTTATTTATTATAATAGTATTAAAATGGAGTCTTCCGTACTATAAATAAACACGAAGAAATGTTTGTAAATCGTGCTAAGATTAAAGGATTATAACCAGTCTATAAACAGCAAAAATCGGTAATCAGTGAAAGAAAAAAATATAGTCTGCTTACAGTGCAAGTAGCGTTATGTATTTATATAACTATCTATTTGAGATTTAGCAAAAATGCATGGAAAGTGTGATTTGTGTTTTCTAGGTAAAAATATAAGAATATTTTGTTATAATTTAATCAGTAAATAATGAAAGGGTACCGCACAGGGTAGAATGCTGTTAATAAAACAATTGTAAATAAACATTTGTAAATGCAACTAAATATAGGGTTATTAAATTAAATAGACTTGGTTTTTCACGAAACCGACGCGGAGGTTACTTTTTGTATAAATTTTCTGTACAAGTTAAAACATTCACGATTTTCTTTTTTTTACTTTGATGGTTCCATTCAAACACATCCTTTTACAATGCTTTGGACGAACATACTGTTTTGTGAAAATTTTCAATTAGAAATAATATATATATTTTAAATTTATATTAAGTGATATCATATTTCATTTTTTAAAGAAATAAGATGACATTTATTTATCAGGATCTTCAATAAATAACACGTAGACAATTCAGTTTATGTACCAATTAAATTGTAATTTATTAATTAATGACATATAAAATTGACACATGTTTCTAACGATATGACTTATGTCTTTGAATATTCCATATTACATTTTGAAAAAAAATGAAAATTAAACAATTTAATCAAATCCGTTTAAGAATGCACTAATTGTTCATTACATGAACTCATAAATGTATTTAACACATGCTTCTTTTAGTAACATAAAGGATTTGAGTGACATGCACCATTTAGGGACAAAGTCTGCGTTCATTACTTACATACATCAGAACCAAGTGCTTTACCTATTGTTATTTTAGAAGCACTTAATCCGTTTACGAATAGCATCAAAGATACTTGTTTGGTTGCACTTTTCGCCACAATCAATTAAGTACAAATATGTGGACATATAGAAAGACTAACAGAAAGGTCAAAACAGAGATATTGCTATAAGGGGAACGCAACAGGTCTAACAAATTTAATATCAGTGCAAAAATTGTCTATACATAATAGGATTGAAAAGTAAAGGGTTGTTGCATGACAGAATACCCTTACATTATATGTGTTTCTCTATTTGTAAATGTAAACTTTTAGATAGTAGTTTAACAGACTTCTCAGAATCTACGTAAACATTATAAGGTATTAAAAATAAAAAATAAAGAGTTTACGATTCGTACGGAGTATAATTGCAAAGCATTGAAGTCAATAAAATTTCAAGACATACATTTTTAATAATTTAAATTGTTTGATACTAAACAACAATACCTGTACATATTTCTGCCCTGCATAGTTCTGTATTGAAGTATACTCCACCAAGTTTAATTTCACAGTCATCAACAATATGTGTGGAGCAATTACGTGTGCGAGACATCAAACATATACGATGGGCAGTTTTACATTCCCAGTCCGACCATTCAAGCCAGTGAACACCAGAAGTCGTCGTAGCTCCAAGGGGTTTACTTGTACTTAACGGCTCAGTGGTTAACGTAGCTGTTTGAGGTAATATCACATAAAACAACACAATAATGATGAATGGAAACAACATTTTATTTAAAATACCGAATATCAGGTTTTCTAGCGAGTCTGTAATTTTAGCTTTATGCGCGGGCGCAGAATTTCGCAATATATACATACACCCTACTTTTGTTCAGTTTAATACAGAAAATTTGCGAGTTTCTGTGTTAAGTTTAACTAATCTTCTACTGACACAATTTGAAAATACGTTTATAATAATAATGTTTATTTTATTGCTTTTCGCATATTTCGAACAAAATATAAATGTATTCACACCTTACGTACAGCCATTAAAAGACATCTTTGCGAAATGTTAACAATAAGATGGCAAAAAATATTTTGTGTCAAATATTGAATACTTACTTGAATAACTTGATATAGGGAAATATAATATTATTTTAAATTCATAGTCTAATTGTTTTTCATCAGTGACAGAGCGTTTGAGACATTTGAGCCTTTTTGAAAATATGACTATAACAGGAATAAATAAAAAATAAACAAATGCTTCTTTGGATGGGTATGACTCTTGTATTGATAATCATAAATAGTTTAGAAAAGAAGACAGCCCTTTAAGATACACCCAAACAATCTTTGCTGTTTTTTTTAATGATTTGCATAATATTATAACACAAGTAGCAACTTACCGTTGCAAAGCCCATCACATAAAGTCTCTTCAAAGTGTTCCCCTTGGAGCGTCAAGCAATCATTGTCTTTAAATCCGCTTATACAAGTTCTTTGGCGTAATTGTAAACATAGACCATGGTCTATGTGACAGGTCCATTCGCCCCAAGGCGACCACTCTGCAAACAAAAAATTCTATATTTAATTATTCGTACACTATTCCTAAAACTTCACCTTTTTCCATGAAATTGTCTACGGACGATTTTATTTTGAAGATTAAAACCTTTTATATTATTCCGCATTTGATTTTGTTATCTGATCAATAAATTACCCCCAAGAGAATTTTGCTTCTTTGCATGGGATGAAATTATCAATCTTGCTTATGGTACATCGATGATTTGTCCTGCAACAGTAAAGCTTGAAGTTGCAAAATGACATTTACAGTGACCGTGTCACTTATTGTAGTGTTGCAGTTCATAAACGGATGGTAAGTGTCGTATAAAAATTGAAAGTTAAACAAGTTTGTCATTCTATCAGACTTTATTAAAACTATCAAGTTGGTCTTCCGATAACCTTTACGTATACATGACTGGCGAAGATCCACCTGTAATTTTACACTCATTCTATTATAAGGGTTCAATAAATAACTTTGAAAGATGAACTTAACACTTCTATAAACTGTGATACAGAACCTTAGAATAAATATTAGTGACCTTGACCTTACAAATCTTAACCTAAACTAGAGGATGCTTTTGTAAAAAAGCGCATGTCTCCCCCACTGCTGAGAATAACTGTGAATGGAAACAGGAATGGAAATGGAGATAAGATAATGTAAATACCCGGTAGTCACTTCAATGAAGGCTGTCTATGGATGGTTTCTATTGTTAAGGTTGTATGAGAAGATGCTTCCTAAACTGTTTGTTTTTAACCAGGTATTCAATTTTGAAAATCCTGGTTATTCAATCAGCGTATGGCAGGCGAAAACAATATGTCTCCCCCCAGTTTGAGGGTTGTAGGTCAAAAGGAACTCTAGTTATCATCCGGAAATGAGAAATTGACCAACGGTCACTGTGACCTTGACCTTTGACCTACTGATCCCAAAAACAATAGGGATCATCTGCTCTATAAGACCAATCATCCTATGAAGTTTGAGGGCTGTAGGTCAAAAGGAACTCTAGTTATCATCCGGAAACGAGAAATTGACCAACGGTCACTGTGACCTTGACCTTTGAACTACTGACCCCAAAAACAATAGGGATCATCTGCTCAATAAGACCAATCATCCTATGAAGTTTGAGGTCTGTAGGTCTAAATGAACTCTAGTTATCATCCGGAAACGAGAAATTGACCAACGGTCAGTGTGACCTTGACCTTTGACCTACTGACCCCAAAAAACAATAGGGATCATCAGCTCTATAAGACCAATCATCCTATGAAGTTTGAGGGCTGTAGGTCAAAAGGAACTCTAGTTATCATCCGGAAACGAGAAATTGACCAACGGTCACTGTGACCTTGACCTTTGAACTACTAACCCCAAAAACAATAGGGATCATCTGCTCAATAAGACGCATTCATCCTATGAAGTTTGAGGGCTGTAGGTCAAAAGGAACTCTAGTTATCGTCCGGAAACGAAGAATGGACGGACGGACGGACTGACGGACGGACGGACTGACGGACGGACAGGGCAAAAACAATATGTCTCCCCCCGAGGTGGGGGAGACATAATAACATGTGTAATACTTGTTGTCATGATATTAATAATTTGTGTTACAATCCATCAATAAATAATAACTAATTATTCTCCGAACACAAACGTTTTACCTATCATTGGTAGCAGGGACCTGAATTATGTGCGCAATGAGCCTCACAATGGTGAACATTTGTGCCAAGTTATATTATTATATCCAGATGAATGTAGAATTTTAGCTCCGAACAAGTATTTTTCAATGACCTATAAGCGTGACGTTCACAATTCAAAGAATTTCATTTTTTTTCTGAAGTTTGACCCCTATGTGTGACCTTGACCTGCAGGGATTTTAATTTTGCACGCGACACCTTGCTTGACAAAAGTGAACATTTCTGCTAAGTTATATTGAAATCCCTTCATGCATTTAGAAGATTTGCTCCGGACAATTGTTTATCTATGGCCTTCAAGTATGACGTTGACCTTTGTTTATGCGCATAACACTGCTTCATAATGGTGAACATATTAATGAAGTTTCATTAAAATTCCTCTATGCTGTAGGAGATATATTCCTGACAAAATTGGACGACGCGCCTTTTTGTGGATTATAAAACGACCTTTTTTTTTCAAACGGGCGTATAAAAAGCGGAAAAAAAATAAAAAAAAATGGAAAAATCAGTAAAGATTAAAATTTTCTGTATAATCACCATTTTGCTTTCTATCAATATTTTAAGTTTCATGAAAACGTTTACACTATATTTTTTATATTTTTCACTATATTTGAGTAATCACAAATATTGTTAAATTTGTAATATTTTAAAGATATTTGTGTAATTTTTTCAAAAAGAGACAAAAAAAAGACGTGCATAATCTTCAGACTGACATTTTACCATATTTTAAGTTTTATGAAAATAATTTCAATACTTTTGTGTTATCTTTGGATCTAGTTTATGTGTATATTTGCCATGATTTAAAGCTTTTGTTGCCATAGCAACCAAGTTTTTCAACGTAGGAATAATGAGGAGAAAGACGTGCTTAATCTTCAGACTGCCGTTTATCCATATTTTTGTGCCCCCACATTTAGATCTACCATTGTCCGTCCGTCCGTCCGTCCGTCTGTCCGTCCGTCCTTCCGTCCGTCCGTCCGTTCACTCTTGTGTCGAACGTAACTCAAAAAGTATTGACTTAGAGTCATGAAACTTTACAGGAATGTTGATCAGCATGTGTAGTTGTGCACCTGGGTTTTTTCGTCTGGATATTTTTAGTATTTTCAGAGTTATTGCCCTTGACTTAATAAAATTTTGCAATTTTCAATTTGTGTCGCATGTAACTCAAAAAGTATTTGACCTAGAGTCATGAAACTTTACAGGAATGTTGATCAGCATGTGCAGTTGTGCACCTGGTATTTTCGTGTGAATTTATTTAGTTTTTTTAGAGTTATTGCCCTTCACTTAGGAAAATTTTGCAATTTTCAACTTGTGTCGCAAGTTACTCAAAAAGGATTTGACATAGTCTTTAAACCTTATTGGCAGGTTGCTCAGCATATTTAGATTTGCACCTGGGGTTTCGCTTGTGGATTTATCCAGTATTTGTAGAGTTATTTGCCTTGACTAAGTAAAAAGATTGACAGAACAGTGGCGCGGTGGGGCTAGTTAGTTTCATGAAAAGTACTTTTTGCATTATCACTGGATCCAGTTTATGTGTAGATTAGCCAAATTTTCATTTTATTTGTTGCCATAGCAACAAAAGTTTTGACATAGACAGAAAGGAAAAAGACGTAGATTATTTCCAGACTGCCATTTATCCATATATCAAGTTTCATAAAGATATTTTCATGACTTTGCGTAATCGCAGGATCCAATTTTGTGGACGGGCGGACAAACAGAAAGACAGACGGGCGGATAGATGGCCAGAGCGACATCGGGTAAACCTTATGTCCCCACCGATTAAATATGTAGGGGACTAAATAAACCTTTACACTCAACCTTACTAAGAATCGAAATGATAATTAAAAAAACGAAGTTATACCTGCAATACAAGGGCAGTTTATGACAGTTACTTCACTTGTGTTTGAGCAATTAAAATCAGCGGTTGAATTACAAGTCCGACTTTTAAAGCAAAAATCTCCTTGTTTCTCACAACTCCAATCCGACCATCCGTCTCTATATCCGCTAATTGAAGCGTTATCTAGAGGAAAGTGGTAAAAATATATATTAATACAAATAAAACATAACAGCAAGGTATCATTCTTTGTACAGAAATAGGCAGTTAAAGTGCATACTATGTGTTTGTACATACAACGAAGGTTTGATATTATGGTATGATGCTTTTTTCATTTACATATTTCCTTCCTTTTCATTTTGCCTTCTAACAGGGTCCCATGAAACGCGTTCCCGTCAAAGTTTCTTCTCACAACTCACAGTCATCGGTTTTGTACGTGGAGTAATTTCGTGTGCGAGACATTATTCATACAATGACAGCATTCCTATCTTGTCTATTCAATCCAGTATATTATATAAGCAGCCGACGACTCACCTGCGGGTTCACATTTACTTAATAGTTTACTGGTTGTCATTTTCCTAGCGCACGATATATTGCCATATGAAATGAAGCAGTTTAGGAGTTGATGACTTAAGGTGCAGGTTCGACATGGATGTAGTTGCAGAAGCGGGTTTCTGAATAAACCGTGGGTGTTATGATAGATTTGTTTGTAGTAGGTGGTGTATATAATCTAATTTACTGACGTCGCGGTTGAAGTTTCTATTTTACATCTGTTGGTCCTGTAGAAGTTGATGCTGTACATGTAAATGCATTATGAGGTGCATGTGTTGAATTTATCACTCTGCTATGAAAATGACAGAACAATCTTCTCACTCAGTATGTTACAAAATGTATATCCCAAGGTAAGGAAAGGCATTCGTATTATTTCAGAAAAAATCATTCATTTTTATACACACTTATTATTTTGCAATATGAATAACCCGAAGTAAGGAAATGAATCTGTCCATCATGTATATTTTCAGACAAAACTATCATTAAACAAATTTTAGACAAACTAAGTATGTTTCAAAACGAATATCTAATAGAAGAGATATTCGAATCTTTTCAAACCAAAATTGCATTAAGAAGAAATAAAGAAAATGCTTCTTTGGAAAGAAAAACAAAAACGCTTGAATTTATAATCAGAAATAGTTTAAGAGAGAAAATAACCTTTTTAGTAACAACCCAAACAATGTTCTTATTGTTACAGTATTCATCCTCCTTTGCATAATATTATTACACAAACAGCAACTTACCATTGCAAGACTCGTCACAACGAATCTGTTCATAATTTTTCCCTTGCAGATTCAAGCAATCATTTCCCTTAAATCCGCTTATACAAGTTCTTTTGCGTAATTTTAGACATACATTTTGGTCAGTGTGACAGGTCCATCCGCCCCAAGGTGACCACTCTGCAGACAAAATTGTTATATTTTATTATTTGTACATGTACACGTTCTTCCTTTAACTTCGCCAATTTTCGTAACAATGACTATGAACGATTTAAAGTTGCAGATCAAATTTTTATATCTTTACACATTTTATTAATACTATGTGATCAATAAATGATGAATAAAGTCATTTCTTTTGATTTGTTTTCATTTTGCAAATGCGGCAGTAGTGGTCCTTGTCTTTGAACTACTTGCCCCTGAATGATGTTGGGTATATATTCCCGTAAGACACTTTTTGTTCTTTAATGTGATGTAATGATCCATCTAGCTGATGATACGTCAGTGATTCGTTCTGCAACAGTAAAGCTAGAAGTGGCAAAATGACCTTTTCGTCCATGAACAGGCTCAATCAAACCGAGCCTGCAACATTTTCAATTTTGTCGTGTTGGGCATTCCTTAGGGATTCTGTATTTATCTATTTTATCAGTGACGTGTCACCTACCCTCGTTTTTCATGTACATAAATGGGTGGTAAGTGTCGTGCTGCATTTAAAGGATAGTAAACAAGTTTTTATTCTTTCTAGTAAATTAATTAAAGCTATCAAATCAAAATCGTATTGAACTCTACTAAAAACTCAAATGTAGAAATTTAACTGTCATTCTTCATTTATTCTTTCAAAAGGGTATAATTAATAACTTAGGAAGATAAATGATATACAACTATAAACTGTGAAACAAACTTTAAGAAAATATATGTATCATTTAATTTTGGACGCTTAGTCAATAATATATGTGTGAAAATTCACATGTTCATATGACATGAAATGTTAATAATCTCAAGTTAGCAGAGTGTGTGTGGAGGTGGGATGGGGAAAGGGGAATTGCATCTAGAAATGTTGTAGAAAGAAATCATTCTTATGCACTTTATCCTGTACGAGTACGCATTTTGTTACAGCATACGATGACCTGGGATAATATAGTTTGCGTGTGCAAAAGACTCTTGTCCAATTTTTCACATCCGTTTAGTAGAAAACATTTTAAGATTTTCGGAAGAGGTGTGCAAGTGCTAAAACAGACTCATCTTGCGCGTAACATTCAAAATTAGGAAAACATGCATTTTATGACTTAACTTTATTGCGAACGAGATGTTTTTAATAAAAAGAGATTATATTTAAAATCCCGCTTTTTAAAAAATACAAATCTTAATTTGGCTAAACGAAACACCGAGATACATAACTGTATACATTCTAGCGCATTTATTTCTCTATCACTATGATTTAAGTCTGTTTATGTATGAAATGATTGTTTATAATAAACAAATGGATTTTATTTTGTACCGGATGTATATGTTTTACAAAATGTTTGACAGCAAGCCCATCGGAACATTGAGCTTATCTCCTTTGCTTACAACAAAGGAAACAAAAAGACATATCATGCATAGTAGGAGTATTAATCATTTATAAATTATATAAACGTGACGTTAAAATTTCACGCACATTTATGTGCCATGACAAAAAAAAAGCACAAAAAACTCACACAAAAGGAAAATAATAATAATCATAAATCTACACTCATCATTATTATTAATCGAAATGGTAGTTCAAAAACAAAGTTATACCTGCAGCACAAGGGCAGTTTGTTACAGTTACTTCACTTGTTTTTGAGCAATTGAAATCGGCGGTTGAAGTACATGTCCGACTTATAAAGCAAAAATCGCCTTGTTCCATACACCTCCAATCCGACCACCCGTCTCTATTTTCGCTAATTGTATCAGTATCTAGGGAAAATTGTAAACATACACATGGAGATAAACAACACATAACCGTAAATTATTATTCCTTGTAAATTATTAGACAGTTAAAATGCATATTTAGTAGATGCATAGTATTATCACACAAGCAGCAACTTACCGTTGCAAGACTCGTCACAAAAAAGCTGTTCATAATATTTCCCTTGCAGATTCAGGCAATCATTTCCCTTAAATCCGCTAATACAAGTTCTTTTGCGCATTTGTAAACATACACCTTTGTCTGTGTGACAGGTCCATCCGCCCCAAAGCGACCACTCTGCAAACAAAGAATGCTACATTTAATTATTCGTACATGCTTTTCCCTTAACTTCACGAATTTCCGTAAAAGTGACTGCGACCGATTCTTTTTTAAGAAAACTCTTTTATATCTTCCTACAGTTGATAACAATAATCTTAACTTAAAGCAAACGTGTTTATAGCGATCTTCCGGTTATAAGGACCATTCTTTAGCCCGAGTTTGCCCTACTTTAATTAATGTTAAAAATGCGGCTATAGTTTGGTTTACGTTTCATACGCACGTATTTGCCATGAGACAAGGATTACATTTATTGACAGCGCTGTGTTTTATGTAAAGATATGTACATGCATTAAGCAAAATGTGCAGAGATTAAGTGTAAGATTACTTTGCATTAAGTTGTTTATTTCTTTTTACAAGAAATTCAAAATTCGAGAATTTAGGAACCCGCGGAAATGTCCGTTTTGATAAAACCACGAAATATCATGCCTACGAATATAAGTGATTAGCAGTATTCAAACTCGGTCGAATTTGTAAAGCAATACATAATAGCTTTCTATGCATGAATTCTTGACACCAAGATATAACAATTATTCATTTTATTCCATAATTTCTTTTCTTTAATAGTTCTACTAGAGGAGAAATAATCATAATTGTTACAATCGGTTTTCAACATAATTGCATATGCTCTGTCTAAGTAAAAATCACCGTTAAGGTATAAAAGAAATATACAATTGTATACATCGTATAATTATGTTATAAATATATTAAGACAATAAACATTGCAATTATTTCATTTCTTTCTTAAGGGAGACAACAATGGCAAACCAAAATAAGTTGTTTTTTTAATCAAATGTTCTTCAAAATGGATGACGATGGTAAACAATCCGTTCGTTACATGTAAATACACCTGATACAAGGAACTTAATTGCTATATGCTCAGATAACTCAGAATATAAGGAACATATTTCGAATGTTGAAAGGAGATCGTTATAAGCGGTGTTTTATGTATTTTATATATTACAAATGATGAATAAATCCATTTCTTTTAATTTGTTTTAATTTGTTTTCATGTTGCACATAATCTATCATTATGTAATGTATATATGATGTATATATTTTTCCACTGTTCAAACTGGTCGAGATTTCCTTTTTTTATCAAAGCACATATATACATAAATTCTTTGATTTAACAAACAAAGTTCAACTTTGAATCCGGACATAGGTTTTTAACTTAACAAATAATGTTCTACATTTTAATGATTTTTGAAAGTATTAATCGGGTTTCATTTTTTAGCAAATCAGCAATTACTGACCTTTGGTAAATGAAATGACAATGCGCAAACACCGAACAACAATTTCAAATAATCATGCAAATATAAACATGATGAAAATTAATTTCCTCTAAGAAGCATATGTAGATCAACAAGAATTCCTGTACTTATTTTCATTGGTAGATTTAGTACAGCATTTTTCATGTTAATATTTGTACTGATGCGAAGATATGTGTCTATATATCAGGTGTGGTGTATTTGCAAATAACTTGTTTTTTACATCATAGTGGATTGAATGCAATGGCATATAAGAATTATATTCTGAAACTAAAATAATGATATCTCTTATGAATCAGATTAATTAGAAAGACATTCTACGGAAGTCCACAAAAGACAGCGTTCTGCTCACTCACTGCTTATGCTTGTTGTGCAGAAATTGTTTCGTTGCTTGTGTATTGACACATAGGTGGCAGTCATAAGATCAATGTGACAAACGCATCCAGACTCATTCAGAACTGTTTTTGCTGCGATTATAGATATTAAGACCTGGTTTTAATAATTGATCGATCTTTATAACTGACATTTTTTACTACTTCTAGACCAAGTTGCACCTGGTCTAATTCCATCAAGAAAGGTAAACGTCTAGTTTGTCATATGGGAAACATGTTCCAACGTTAATCAAAAAAGATAGTGACTGTGTAATGTGTACTGCTTACTTGAAGATCTTATAATACTAAACATTAACACAATCTGAAGATTTGGCTGATATTTCAAACGATGCTTCCTAATTCCTATCTTCTGTACCCGGCTTACTGCCTACGGCACATTGCTTACTACTAACAGCTTACTGTCAACTGCCGTCTAAATAGTGTTTATATATATAAAGATCATAGAGTCAATGTCACAATGTCTGCTACAATGTTACTGATTCCGCAACTACTGTGCTACTGCTTCTGTTTCTGCTGTGTTAATGCTACTGTTGTGCTACTGCTGTTGCTTTGCTACTGCTTCTTCTACTGCTACGGCCGTGCTACTGCATCTGCTTTGTTACTGATACTGCTTCTGCTTTGTTACTGCTACTGCTATCCTATGCTACTGTTACCGCTGTGCCATTGCTACTGCTTTGCTATTGTTACTGCTGTGCTACTTCTTCTGCTTCTGCTGTACTACTGCTACTTCTACTGACATGCTACTGCCAATGATGTGCTAGTGCTACTGCTGCGCTAATGCTGCCGCCATTTTCACGTTGTATAATTTTGCTACTATTGTTGATGTGGTACAAATACTGTGATGTGGTACTAATACTGCCAATTTCACTTTGCTACTACTACTGCTTGTTTTCAACCATCCCATCTAGCATAAGATACGTCTGTTATTCATTCTGCATCAGTAAAAGTTGGGTTTCAAATTACCTTAACGGTACCAGTGTCACTTAAAACTTTGTGTTGCCACGTACATAATGGATGGTAAGTGTTCCTTATAGCAATTGAAAAGATTAAACAAGTTTTTGTCAATTTATCTTGACATTTTTTTAAAGCTATCAAGTCAGTCTGGCCGGTAATTATTTTGCTGAACTTTTTTCTGAAAACCTTTACGTATGCATTAAAGGTAAGATTCAACTGTCATTCTACACTAATTCTTTCAAAAGGATATAATAAATAATTCTTGAATATACATGAATTCCATATACTGAAAAACAAATCTGAAGAACAGATAATGTATCCTTTAATCATTTAAGCTTCATAAACTATAGATGTGTGAAAATTCACATGTTCAAATGATATTAAATTTAAAAGCAAAATGAATTAGCTGAGTGTGTAAAGGGGTTGGATTGGTGTGGGAATTGCACATAGAATTTCGTAAGAGGTGAGCAAGTGCTAGACAAGACTCGCAGGGTATCATGCTGATTTCGCTAGTAAAGATACACATTACGAAAACAATTAAGCATTTAATGTCCGAACCGTTTCCAAATGGAAACATTTAATAAAAATACAGAGATTTATGTAAAAATCTCGCGTCCAAATATACAATATCTTGATTCGGTTGTACGAAACACTATAATACGGTACTGTGTATATATTCTTGAGCATATTTTAACAATAAACGTTTTTGTTAACTTTATAAATAAAAATCAATTTCTTGAAATTTGATTTCAGGATACAAATCTATAAGCATGTATGTTTGCACAATAATTATATTCTATTTTCTTTGTGATAAATATGCTTCACATTTTTTTTACAGCAAGTCCGTCAGATCATTGGGTTCATCTGTTTTGCTTACAGTAAAAGGAAACGCATTTACATATCATGCGGAGGAGGAGCTATTAATCATCAATGATAAAAACATTACGTTACGATTTATATACATTAATTTGCCATGACGAACAACAACAACAACAACAACAATAAAAAAACAACCTCTACTCTCACTCACTTTACTATGAATCGAAATAATAATACTAATTCATACCTGCAACGCAAGGACAGTTTGTTACTGTAACTTCACTTGTTTTTGTACAATCGAAATCAGCGGTTGAATTACATGTTCGACTTTTAAAGCAAAACTCTCCTAGTTTCTTACAGCTCCAATCCGACCATCCGCCTTTTTGTTCGCTTATTGTATCAGTATCTAAGGAAAATTGTAAAAATATATGTTGATTAAAAAAACATAACCGCAAATGCAAAATAAGCAGTTTTATCGCATATTATCTGTTTGTACATATAAAAATGTTTGGCATTATATATGATGCATTTTCATTTACTTTTTTCCCTTCTTTTTCATATTGCCTTCTTTCAGGGTCCCATAAAAACCCTCTGTCCAAGTTTCTTCTCACAGTCAGCGGCTTTGAACGTGGAGCAATTACTTGTGCGAGACATCATTCATATCACTCATACAATGACAGTATACATTCCTATCTTGTATATTCAAGCCAGCATATTATATAAGCAGCCGACGACTCTCCTGAGGGTTCACATTTTCTTAACAGTTTACAAGGTGAGCAAGTGCTAGACCAGACTCGCCGGGTATCATGCTGATCTCGCTAGTTAAGTTACACATTACGAAAACAATTAAGCATTTAATGTCCGAACCGTTTCCGAATGGAAATATTTAATAAAAATACAGAGATTTATGTAAAAATCTCGCGTCCAAATATACAATATCTTGATTTGGTTGTACGAAACACTATAATACGGTACTGTGTATATATTCTTGGGCATATTTTAACAATAAATGTTTTTGTTAACTTTATAAATAAATTCAATTTCTTGAAATTTGATTTCAGGATACAAATCTATAAGCATTGTATGTTTGCACAATAATTATATTCTTTTTTCTTTGTGATAAATATGCTTCACAATTTTTTTACAGCAAGTCCGTCAGATCATTGGGTTCATCTGTTTTGCTTACCGTAAAAGGAAACGCATTTACATATCATGCGGAGGAGGAGCTATTAATCATCAATGACAAAAACGTTACGTTGCGATTTATATACATTAATTTGCCATGACGAACAACAACAACAACAACAATAAAAAAACAACCTCTACTCTCACTCACTTTACTATGAATCGAAATGATAATACTAATTCATACCTGCAACGCAAGGACAGTTTGTTACTGTTACTTCACTTGTTTTTGTACAATCGAAATCAGCGGTTGAATTACATGTTCGACTTTTAAAGCAAAACTCTCCTTGTTTCTTACAACTCCAATCCGACCATCCGCCTTTTTGTTCGCTAATTGTATCAGTATCTAAGGAAAATTGTAAAAATATATGTTGATTAAAAAACATAACCGCAAATGCAAAATAGGCAGTTTTATTGCATATTATCTGTTTGTACATATAAAAATGTTTGGCATTATATATGATGCATTTTCATTTACTTTTTTTCCCTTCTTTTTCATATTGCCTTCTTACAGGGTCCCATAAAAACACTTTCCCCTCCAAATTTCTTCTCACAGTCATCGGCTTTGTACGTGGAGCAAGTACTTGTGCGAGACATCATTCATATCACTCATACAATGACAGTATGCATTCCTATCTTGTCTATTCAAGCCAGCATATTACATAAGCAGCCGACGACTCTCCTGTGGGTTCACATTTTCTTAACAGTTTACTGATTGTCATTTTGCTAGCGCACGATATAATCTCGTATGAAATGAAGCAGTCTAGGAGTTGATGACTTATGATCAGGTTGTATAGGTGCAGATTCGACATGAATGTAATTGCAGAAGCGGGTTTCTGACTTAACCGTATTGACAATGTACGTGTTATGTTAGATTTGTTTGTAGTAGGTGGTGTATATAATCATGAATTTACTGACGTCAAAGTTGTAGTTTCTATTTTACCTTTTTGTTCTTGTAGAAATTGATGTTGTACATGTAAATGCATTATGAGGTGCAAGTGTTGAATTTATCACTCTGATATAAACATGACAAAACAATCTTCTCACTCAGTATGTTACAAAATGTATATCCCAAGGTAAGGAAAGGCATTCGTATTATTTCAGAAAAAATCATTCATTTTTATACACACTTATTATTTTGCAATATGAATAACCCGAAGTAAGGAAATGAATCTGTACATCATGTATATTTTCAGACAAAACTATCATCAAACAAATTTTAGACAAACTTAGTATGTTTCAAAACAAATATCCCAAAGAAGAGATATTCGAATCCCATTAAGAAGAAATAAAGAAAATGCTTCTTTGGAAAGAAAGAACGCTTGAATTTATAATCATAAATAGTTTAAGAGAGAAGACAACATTTTGAGTAACACCCAAAACAATGTTCTTATTTTATTGACAGTGTTTTGCATAATTTTCTCACACAAATAAAGCAATTTACCGTTGCAAGATTCGTCACAAAAAGCTGTTCATAGTCCTTCCCTTGCAAATTAAAGCAATCGTTTCCTTTAAATCCGCTTATACATTTTCTTTGGCGTAATTTTAAACATACATTTTGGTCTGTGTGACAGGTCCATCTGCCCCAAGGCGCCCACTCTGCAGACAAAATTGCTATATTTAATCATTCATACATATACACGCTCTTCCTTAAAGTTTACCAATTTTCGCAAAAAAAAATGGACCACGAATGATTTTATTTTGAAGGTTAAATTTTTATTTCTTTCGACATTTGATTATAATAATACTATATGATCAATAAATGATGAATTAGCCAGTCCTTTTGATTTGTTTTCATGTTGTACATATGGCGGTAATGACCGAGTGGTTAAAGTTGTAGACTTTGAACTACTTGCCCCTAACTGGTGGAGCGGGAAGTTGAATTCCCGTCAGGTACTGTTGATTCCTATCATGTGATGTAATGATCTATCTAGCTCATAAAACGCTGAAGTTGCAAAATGCCTTAAGCAAGTTTTGTCATTTTATTTGACTTTATTAAACCTATCAAACCTGTCGGTCAAAATCTTATTAAACTCAAATGTATAAATGACAGGCTAAGATTCACCTGTCATCCTTCACTCACTCTTTATAAAGGATATGATATATAACTTAAATCATTTAATTATTGACGGTTAATTAATAATGAATTAAGTAAATGAATTGTGAAAATACAAATGTTCAAACGACATAAAATGGAATACAACTTAAGTTAGCAGTGTGTGAAAAGGTGGGTTGGAGTTTAGGAAATGCATCAAGACATTTTGTAGAAAAAAATCATTTTCACTTAATCATATATGCATTTCTTACAGCTTGAATTTTGCCACATCAGATGATCTTGGATAATATATTTTAATGTATGCAATAGACTCTTGTTCAATGTTTTACCTCTATTGTGTAGCAAACATTTCTGGATCATCGAAAGAGGTGTGCAAGTGCTAGAACATTGTTGCAAGGGAATTGTTTAACATTAAATTGTTTCGAAACAAAAAAAACATTTTATGTCTGAACCGTTTCCGAACGAGAACTTTTAATAAAAAAATGCAAAATAATAATTTGGTTTAATACATAACTGTTTACATTGTAGAGCATTTATAACAATAAACGTTTTGTAAACTCTATCACTATGATATTATTCCGTTCATGTATGCAATAAATCAGTTTCTTTAAAAATTGTATTCTGGATATCCATTTATGAAATTGTTTTCAAAGTAAATGGATTTAACTATGTACGGAATAAATACAATTAAACAAAGTTTTGACAGCAAGTCCGTCAGAATAATAGGTTCATCTCTTTTTGTTACCAAAAAGGTAGCTAAAAGACATATCATACAGGGAAGGAGCTATTAATTTTCTATAAATGATATTAACGTGACATTAAAACACACACACATACACAGTATGTTACTAAATGTATAACCCAAGGTAAGGAAAACAGCCATAATTAAACTGTTTATTATACAATAATAAAGAAATAAGCATTTACTGACTTAACTGTTTTCAAACGAGAACTCAAAAAAACAAGAGATTTTATTTAAAATCTCGCTTTCAAAAATGCAGATCATAATTTGGTTAAACGAAACACCGAAACACGTAACTGTTCACATTCTAGCGCATATTTAAACAATATATATTGTTAACTCTATCAGTATGATATTATTCCGTTCATGTATGAAATAAATCAATTTCTATAAAATTTGTTTTATAATCAATAAATGGATTTTATTTTGTAAGGGATATATATGTTTTACAAAATGTTTCACAAGTTCATCAGGACATTGGGTTCATCTCCTTTGCTTACAACAAAAGGAAATACAAAGATATTCCAAGTAATGAAAGAGCTATTTATCATTTAAGACTAGTATAAACGTGACGTTAAATTTCATACGCATTTTCTTGTTGTGACAAAAAAAAAACACACAACAAAATAAAAATATAACAAAAATAAAAAAAGCATCAGCCTTCACTCAACCTTATTATGAATCGACATGATAATTCATAAACGAATTTATACCTGCAACACAAGGGCAGTTTGTAACAGTTACTTCACTTGATTTTGAGCAAGTGAAATCATCGGTTGAATTGCAAGTCCGACTTTTAAAGCAAAGATCTCCTTGTTGCTGACAACTCCAATCCGACCAACTGTCTCTATGTTCGCTAAATCTACCAGTATCTATAGAAAATGGTAATATATATGTAATCAATTAAACATAAACGCAACGTATTATTCTTTGTTTACGAAATGCAAATAAAAATAATTACATATTTAACCTGTGTTAAACGATCATAGACAAAACGTGTAAGGAAAAATCCCCAAACAGAGGTCCGAAGTGGTAGAACAGGCGTGCAAGGGTATGACGCTGCTCTCGCGCGTAAAGTTAAACACATGAAGAAAAAATAAACTTTGTATGTCACAATTGTTTCCTAGTGAGAACCTTAAAATCTCGTTTTCAAAAATGCAACCATTTTATTTGGTTAAACGGAACACTTTTAGACATAAGTGTTTACATTCAAGCGCATATGTTAACAATAAACATAGTGTTAACTCCTTAAATATGATATTATTCCGTTCATGAATGAAATAAAACAATATCGTTAAAGTTTGTCTCCAGGATACTTATTTATTGACACGTATGTTTTTACCTTAAATAGTTTTCATTTTGTATGCCGGGATAAATACGTTTCACCTAATTATTTCACAGCAAATCCAGCAGAACATTGGGTTCATCTTTTTTTTTCTTACAGTATAAGAAAACAAAAAGACATAACATGCAGGGGAGCTTTTAATCGTTAACGTTTCATTCGGATGTTTCATACGGATATTGGGCGTCTGTGACCGAGTGGTTAAGGTCTTTGACTTCAAACAAACCACTTGCGCCTCACCGCTGTTGGTTCGATTCCGACAGGGACTTTGGATTCTTTCATGTGAGGAAGCTATCAAGCTTACTTACGGAGAGTCGGTGGTTCTACTCAGGTGACCTGATGTCTTCCTTCACCAGTAAAGCCGGAACGTCGCTAAATGACCTATACTGTGTCGGTGTGACGTAAAACTAAAAAATCAAATCAAATCACACGGATGTATTTGTCAAGACAAAAAAAAAAGAAAAAAGGAAAAACAACGCTTTACCTTACTATCGATTGATTAATTGAAAACAAACTTATACCTGCAACACAAGGGCAGTTTGTAACAGTTACTTCACTTGTTTTTGAGCAATTGAAATCATCGGTTGAATTACATGTCCGACTTTTAAAGCAAAACTCTCCTTGTTGTTGACAGCTCCAATCCGACCATCCGTCTCTATGTTTGCCAATTGTACCAGTATCTATAATAGCAAATGGTAAAGTGGAAAAAAAATGGTAAAACATATATGTAAACAAGCAAAACAAAGTATTATTCTTTATTCACGAAATGCAAATAAAAATAAATAAAAATTGAAAATAATCAAAAACATAATTTAGCCTGTGTTAAACAATAAAGACAAAATGTGAAGAAAAATCCCTCAGCCAATCAACGAGCATGCTTTATGTTTATCTCCGATGGACAGTGTGGTAGCTAGACTAGAGTGCGGTTTACTAATAACCTGCCCTCTAGTTAACGCACTGTGCATATGGGTATACGAGTTTATTTTGACACAGTCTCCAAAATTTGATACAATGTTGTTTGTACACCGCAAATGACGTCACTTTGCATTATTATTACAAAAGTGTAAGAACAGGCTCTATCAAACCAGCCCTGCAACATTTTCAATTTGTCCGTTTTGGGCGTTCTATAGGTATTCCGTTTTTCTCTAATTTACCGTATTACACTTTTGCGCTTCGGTTTAAGTCGGAGAACAAGAAATCTCTTAGATTCTAATTTCGCGTAAAAGTATCCAAATTGAAATTCCTACCGGAACGTGTAATTGCCTCGGCGTTTATTTCTATTTATTCTATATTTTATTAATAAATTATAGAAAAAGGTAATTACGGCTATTTATCAATTATTGTATATTATTTATGAATCGGTCGGTCGAATGTTTTACATCTTTTACGATATCGCGCTAAGAATTCCATTTTGGAAAAAGTACTTTCGCGAAACTTCGTATTGGTGTTTCAAATGTCAATTTTAGATGGAGAACGAAAAAAAAAACCGGAAATAAAATCCTACCGATTCCATGCATGCATGAAAAATAACAGGTCATGGAATCTGATTAACCAAAAGCATGCAAACTAGAAACCAATAATTTTATTGTAATTCAATCTGACAAAAGTTTTCAAAATCAACACTTGTAAAGATGCTTGCGATACCATAGTGCTAGCCGTAAAAAGAATTACCAAATAATATTCATGAAATCATTAACATATATAAGACAGATTTTTGTCTTTTATTTCATTATTATAACTTTATTTGCACAGAGACATTTATAATGAACTTACATGTTAAACATTATCATATGTACATGTAACTACAAACAATAATAAGTAAATTTACCTAATAAGAAACAACATGTACTTTGTATTCCATAATTCCATAACAATAATAGGAACGCATTTGCTTTGATATAAGGCTTCATCCTAGTTTATCTACATGATAACATGAAAATATTATAACAAATATAAAAGACTAAAAAATCGTGTTCGTTTACCATATCAAGATTTATTAAGAGTAAAATTAAATTGTTATAATTATAATCTTACATTCAATACCTCAAAGAGGTGTAACATTGAGTGTCTCTTTATGTAAATATACAGGAAATAGAATACCATAAATGTTTCGGAACAATTTATTAATTTGCTAATTAATGTAAGGTTTAAACCTTTTGGCGATAATTTTGCGCATATGAAATTCGCTTTGAAGGAAATCATATATACTATTATTATAATATATATTTCTTTCATACTGGTATTTTCGAATATTTTTGACAGAACTTAATCAATGATCTTTGCAGAAAATATATATAGATTATTTTATAGGAGCATGATATGCTGGTAAATCAATTTTATTCAGCTTAAAAATATTTGTTCATACACAATTGTTTATCTTTTGTTTTCATCAATCGTTCATAAATTGTTTTTGTTATTATATCTCTATGTTGATTATTGGCATCACATGTTTCTATTTGTATCTTATTATACCGTATGCATATATACAAGTCTACTTATAAACGATATTGTATATAATAATACATTATACCTAAAGATCTGTGTTTGGTAAAATTAGAAAGTTTACGCTTGTAATTAGTGAAATCTTCAGGGGTGTTATCTATTTCAGACTTGTTTATAATGTTCATTATGTAATGATTCATGCATTTCAAAAAGTCTTCAAAATTTGAAAATATAATCACATATAATTTTCAGGTCATTACACTACCTATTACCCCTTAACGCGATTACTTGCTCGTTCATTTGCAGTTAAATTTATATTCTTGCTCTTCAGGCTATTTTCCATTGGTTTAAGAAAAACCTCTATACTTATACAATGACAAATACTCAACGGAATCGGACAAATTGGTAATAACAGTTGACTCAAAAATGGTGCTTGTAACGAAAAATCGTAGACTTTAAAAAAGCAAATGGTTTACACAAGACAATGCCGCATCTTATGACGAAAGGCTTTATCTTCAGAAAAAACAAATCGCTGAGCCAAAAAGCGACAAAGACACATGGGTCTCTCGAGGAAAAATCTTCTTTGGGAAAGAGATTTTAGTTTTATATTTCTTTAAATAAGAACATCCAATTCAATGGAACGTCCTATCTGAAATGGCATCAGACAGACAGTGGTATGAAGGTTAGCTCCAAACAGAGACATATACATACAGAGGTTCGCAGCTTCTGTTTTTCTATTTGCCGTTTTGCCAATTTTCACATGCCGTGTGAGTTTTAGAGACTCGCAGCAATACCTGTTAATCGACGCCAGTTTATACCAATAAAAAAAACGTGTTTTGGAAACATTTTTACTTTATTCGTTTTTAACAAATTCACTATAAAACTATCGTTATGTTGATTCTCCATCCAACCAGACAACTCGTCAGTCGTCAGGCAGTTAAATTATATAGGTTAGATTCAGTAAATTGAAAAAATGAATTATGTCAAATAAATAAATAAATAAATAAATAAATAAATATGTATCGAAACCTTAAAAATGACAAATACAAGTTAACTTAGGTTTACTTTAGCAGAGTATCTTTTTATAAGATACTTCTTGTTTTCTCTATTTCAGCTCAAATTGACAAACATCCAGGACAGGCTTCGTATATAACACATTTTAAAATGTCATTCAGGTGGCACTTTTTAGGTTCACAATTAACAGTTTGAAGTAGGAATAAGCAATAAACAACATCAAAAAAATCAACAGACATTTGCTTATCTATTAATAGATTATAATTCAAATATGTAAATGATTGTCGAATTCCAAACTTCAATTAAAAAAAAAACATTCCGAAAAACAAGGGAAATAAAACAGTTATGTTTAACATTGATCAACAAAATAATTTCCATTACATGCCATAGTGAACAATTTACAAAGAAAATACAAAACAGCACGATTGTCTTACTTGTAGCTACACGTTTATTACCCAACGTTTGATGATGGACCTTTTACAGTTACAGTTTTATTGAAATTGGGTGACGGCTTGTTCCGTTACTACACTGCAATAAAGTATGTCACTGGCTACCCTTGTTTAAATTCAAGACCATTTGGTCTTGTTATTGATACTGTTTGAGAGCAATTGACCTAGCATTGAATAGAAAAGGCGGGGCTAGCATTTTTGAACTTTATCTTATAGCTTCATAAAAGAGTAAACACATACCTAAATAGTTGTAATCTGATTGAGCGATTCATTCATTTAATGAAAAACACAAAGTATGAAGAGAACATTTAAAAGGTTTACATTATTTTGTTAGTTATCACAGTACCATGAAGTACCTTTATTTGTAATTTTTATTTAAGTAACATTTAACTCAATGTCAAGTAGAGCAGACTGGATTTTATATTTCTAAAGACTGACTGTTATTATGTTGAGTTACCAACGGCTAACATTGGAACATTGCTTATGATATAATAAGAAACTACCTTTCAACCAAGGAATTTGTGGCTCCAGTCCTGCTAGGTTCACGCAAAATCAAGCAAATTAAAAATATTCTTAATGTAATTGTATGTCCGTAAAACTATGTTTTCGGATTGTTCAATGTAAAATGAATGTATTAACGGTGAGCAAAACAATGCCATAAATTACATATGTATGTTTTTATATTTAAATCTAACATATAACACATTATTATTTTTTAATTGATTTATACAGATACATCAAACGCAAGAACTTCAATGGACACATTGTAAATAAATGCAGTTAAAGAATAATCAAGAAAGTTGAATACCGTTTTATTTACGTAAATAAACGGGAAAAAGTAGCGCAAATATAGGCCGGTCAGTAGAGAAAGCCATTGATCCTACTTGCTGTAAAATTTGTAACTAGGTTTTTATATTGACAATGAATGCTGAACATTGCATAAAAAGAGACTATGAGATAAATTTTGAAAAAAAAATAGCAGTTTATCAAATTAAAATTATCTGTAAAATAAAATACCGATTGTTTCCATTATAATTGTACTGTTGTTTAGGAAATCAATTCTGAGTGCATTGTTGTAGAATAATGCACGGTTTGAGTTCAAATGCGTAGTAATATAATCACGAAGGCCGATAGGCCTGAGTGATTAATTACAAAGCATTTGAACGGAAAACGTGCATTATTATACAATAATGCACGAAGAATTAATATCTATTTCCATTCTAACAATTCAAGAAAAAATATAATTATTATTATAAAGTTGGACTTTATGTTTGGCGGTTAAAATTGTTTACGCCTCAGAGTTTCCAATAGAAATGTTCTTTAAAGGCCGTTCCAGTGGGTTGAAAAAAACTGTCGTTAAATCTACCGTGTGTAGAAACTTTTTAAATAACGAATTTTGAAAATGTTGATAAAACTTTGTTTGTTAATTTTATTTCAGCCTATAATTTTCCAAGCGAAATACAAATAATTAAAAGTGAAATAAATGTAAAACTTAACTCGTCTGCGACGTTAAAATAGCGTACTTGATTTTGATTGTTTTGCACGTGCTGTTTGGCGCTACATTGTGACGTCACATAAACAACACTTTAAACGTCTGTACAGCGTTAACGACTGGATTAAAGATATAGGTGTTCGGATTTATTTTCTTAGTTAGACCATTTTCTATCATTCTAGATAGTTTTCTCAACAAAATTCGACAAAAAATTGTTTTTATTTATCAGATTTTTCAAACAAAATGGCGCCCTCAATGTGAAAATACACAGGGAGATAATAAG